CGCATTCAAGTGGGAATCTCCAGCGGGGGGGGGACTTGTCACTTGGTGCTATTTTTGATAATCAACCTACCGATCAGACTCGTCCATCAGATGCGCATCTCATGATCCAGGCCCAGTCATCAGGCGGAAGTAATGTTACCTATAGATAGACTGAAGAAGCACGATGCCATCAAACGAAGGCCAGGAACCAGGTCCAGAGAACCGTGGATTGAGCACCGGACCAGGATCCTCCACTGATATATTAGCCCTATAGATTATAGACAACTGCGGACCTTAGGAATACATGTATCAGTATTGCCCTCTAATTGTAAGTACTTGATGTATTATTCTTACAGTATGGCCTGATAGTGAATGTGCGTGGATCATCGGAGATGTTTGGATGTATAGTTAAATCAAAAGACTCGGAGCTCTGAGCTTTTCCTGCAATCGGCACCATTTCATAAACAGTCCAACTCACGTTTCAACTCACGCGCACGTCTCGCACACGTTTTTCTTCTACCCGATCTCCCACCATGTTCACGTACTATACACCAGCCTGCTACACGCTCGCTCGCCACATATTCAACACACCGTTAAAGAGAGGAGCTTGATGAACTCTCAACTTCAACATGGCTATCTCACCCTTAACTATCCTGTTACTGTTACATATTCCATTTGTTTACGCCTCACTGCCAAGCCTCAATGGCACCAGCATCTCTGCACTCGATGCTAGCGAGTCCCCATCCTACGGTAATACCAGAACCTTGTGGGACATCATCTGGAGTTGCGCTGCAACTCTATTCGCATGCACATGGACTGCCATCCACCCAAACATCCCGGGTATGGAGGAGGGGAAATGGACTGTTTTCTCTCGTCGCCTAGGCATCATGATCATGGCGCTGATTCTCCCCGAACTCATGATCACCTGGGCCACATTGCAGTTTCGGAATGCTCGTGACACTGCAAAGAACTTCAATGATGCCTTTGGTGCCCAACTTCACCGGGCCTGCGGCGACGATCTCGATATAGAAGAGAGCACTTTATCTCTTAGTAACATTCCACAATCAGGTGGTCGGAGGGATAGTCCACACCTGAGCGCTGCCCATGCTGCAGGTCGCAATGGAGGTCGGTTACATTCTCGGACCTTTCGGTTAGCGGTGACTAATGTTTAACTGATGTCTCATAGGATGGACAACGACGCATGGATTTTTCGCATGGATGGGTGGATTCATGCTCTATGTTAATGGGAAGCCGCGAGCCACTCTTCGACCTGACGAACTTTGGCGCTTGGTTCATAAGGAATCCGTGGACGTACCCATAATCGTGGAGGCAGACATAGAAGATCGAAGCAAGGGCGATGCACTATCCAAAGGCATTGCCATTCTCCAGCTTGCGTGGTTTGTTCTCCAGCTTGTCGCCCGTTATGTCCAGAACCTTCCGATGACACTGCTTGAAATTGACACGCTGGCTGTAGCCGCCCTGACCAGCATTTCTTATGGATTTTGGTGGAAAAAGCCCAAGGATGTTAGGCGTCCTTATGCTGTTCATTGGAAAGCAACATCTCCGCCAAGCATATTAGCCTACGAGTATGTCGTCAACATTCATCCCCAAAATTATTCTCATTCACATGCATTATAGAAAGACAGATTCAATGTTTACCTGTGAAAACTGTCTCGATTACTGTTCTTCTTATCTCTATCCCGTTTTCAGTCTTATGGGCGCCGCAATGACCACTTCTCCCCGTGCCGTCCGAGAACGTCGGGTTCCATCTTTGGGTGGCTATGACGGTAATGACGATCATGATCGTAATCATATCATTACACTTTTCATCGGATGCTTCAGTGGCATGGTTTTTGGAGGAATACATTGTCTAGGCTGGAATAATTTGTTTCAGGGGCACACAGAGCAGATACTATGGCGTGCGGCTTCCCTTGTGATACTATCCGCACCGGTGTCTATTCTTTTGTCGTTTAGCTATGCCATCTGGGGGGAGTTCTCGGATGTTGGCACAGCTATCGCAATTGCCGCTGTACGCGCCAGCCTTTTCATATATATTGTTGCACGCATTACACTAGTCGTACTTTTATTGATGAGCTTACGATCGCTGCCTCCTGGTGTATACGATACAGTGGCTTGGACCAAGCTTGTTCCCCATTTGTAGTTTTCTTTTGCATACATCGCGGTCATGATTATGAACTTGCTGCCTCTTCATGGAATCACCAATTTAAAATGCGAGTTAAGCTCAGGTAACAAAGTAAAGCCATACTGCATGAGTGTGAAGGAACGGCGAACACGGTTCCAATATATGAATGTGACCACAACGCCGTCCATATAAGCTGCATGCAATCAAGGAGATCTGAGCATCGTATGTACATTTCTTCGCAAAGTCTGAAAGGGAGGAGGCTTGCAAGCAGCGGGGGCACTGCAGCGGAAAGTGCGGTTGGCAAGTGGGTCTCGCAGGATCTAGGTTGATAGAGCTCGATGCTCATCGACATCAGGCAATACGCGACATATTGATTCAGCGTGAACATGCATGGAAGCTGCAGGAGTGGTTAGAAGTCGTCTATGTCGTGCACGAATGCGTACGTATAAGTCATCTGATTCATCGAATCGGAACAGTCTCCCATAGTTAGACCAATCGACGAAAGTTGGTTGTTCCTTTGTATTCAAATTCATAGAAGCCTCACTCCGAACAAACGTGCCGGGACACTATATGCATCCCATGCCAGCGCACGTCAGGACGCCAGATATATTATGTCTGCTTGTATTTGGTCCACAAGAACAGAGAGCTTTTATATACATGGGCAAGTGATAACGGATAAGTCAAGGACTTACAGTACAGTACATACAAATCGTGGCACCCCAAACAAGGACCCCGGAAAAATATCGTAGCCCCCGCTGACGCGCCAGTTCCCGACTCTCTCTCGCTTATTTTGCGAGCTGTGAGGCAGATATACGCAGTACAAAGAACACAGTAGAGTACATGAGATGAAAGAAAGGGGAAATCAGTGAACGGAAAGGAAAGGAAACACGAGAGACGGACAGGAATCCTACATGCTACTATACTAGATATTTAAAGCTCTCGTTATCATCTCCATCCTGCTTCCACGCATTCTGTTCATTCAAACGTTTCAGATACATATACATCCCACCACCTATGCCCGTTGACACCCCAATTGCTGCAATGCAGACGGCATAGGAATACCGATATGTCGGGCCCCAGTGAGACTGCCAGACGTACCTATGAGATATGTGCAATTGTGGATGATGAGCGAGACTCGGAGACAAGATCAAATATCACTAACGATCCAGCAATATTTCCTGCTTGGGCCAGTGAATTAACCAAAGCAACAGCCACAGCTCGCTTCGCGGGTTCCCCAGTGAAAGTATTGTTGACCCAGCTCCAGAACACCATGTAACCGGCGTTGACTTGAGCCATCAGAAACCTGTACGCCTTTGAGTACAAGAGGCAGAGCTTTATAAGCACATGATGCCACTTACAGTGAAAGATAACGTGCAGCCGTGTTCATCGTGCACATAGATATGACGAATCCAAGGACTGTGACTGCATTAGAGGCAGCAAAGTAGATGTAACGCTTTTTCTTCTTATCAGAGTACCTGATTGTCCATGAGACACGACTATCGATAAAATTGGTTTACCTACCTCGAAAGAGCAAACGAACCTATTGTAGATAATACCCATGGAGGAGCGCAGAGCAACAGAGTTACAGTCGTGTTGTATCCCATTGTCGCGCTGAGGGTCGGGAAGTAAGCGAAGAATGACTGGCCTAAAAGCTGGGCAATGTATGCAGCTACAAATGCCCACACCTTCCCATCAGACAAAGCATCCCACAGTCCTTGCATGCTCGTCCTTTCCCTTACCCCAGCCCTACCTTGACCATCTTCCACAAGGCGAGACACAGCAAGTTCTCTTTCCTCCGGAGTGAGCCATTTCGTGTTGTGTGGGAAATCGGGGAGTATGAACAGCGCGCAAATTGCAACAAACATCGTAATGCCCCCCTCGATAAAGAATAACCACCTAGAGATCATTCAACATAATTGGGCGAGACAGACGACAATTTCTCACCTCCATGCAGCATGACCAAGTTTCCCCTGCATGGTTTGAAGTATACCAGACGCAATCAGGGATCCGAAAGCATTGCTGATCGGGATTCCACAGGAAACGACAGTTACTCTCAAAGCAAGCTCGTCTCGTTTGTACCACTGAGATACAAGAAATAAACTTCCAGGGTAAAAAGGACCCTCCGCAAAGCCAAGAAAGAAACGGGCGAGAACAGCCCCCGTAAAACTTGTGTCGAGCTGTCAGAAACTACATAGCATTATGGGAGGCGAGAAGATATACTTTGTTGTGGTCCCTGGGTACCATTAGTATTCATTTCGTGAAAGATCGATGTCGACAAACCTGTTAATGCCGATATCGCACCCCATACCAACATACAAGATGGAAGAAAGATAGAAGGTCTCCCCAGCCAGTACAGAAACATATTTCTGAAAGAAAAACAGGCGTCAGTTGATTTATCCCCTGATAATGGACACAACTCACGCTGGCACTTGCATCGTGGTGTATCCGACGAATAGGATCGACAAGACCGTGGCGTATTGTTGCCCCTGCAGGTGCAGATCCTGCTCAAAACCTTGTAACCGAGCATTGCTGTTGATGTCGTGAGATTAAAACAAGTATGATAATGCGTCACACACGAAATGTTCGTTCTGTCGATCTAGTTATGGATGCACAGTTACTAAGCGATGTCATACCAACTTGAAATCGAGCTCACGTAGTTGAGAGTATAGATCACCACGATTATCGACATGCGCAAATCGAGCTTCTTGACTAATCTTCGTTCAAGATCTTCGCGAGTACTAGCATACGCCTCATGACGGGGTAAGCTGGAGGGCACCTCGAAGTCGCCGATCGCGCTCGTGATATCACCCATCTTTGTGTCGTTGTGAGTAGACATCGATCCAAAAGATATGCACGCAACTAGAAGGCCTGGAAAAGGCTACCATCTTTTATCTCCCCAAGTCAGACCAATAGAAGATACGTTCATCATAGCCGTACCTGAGTTTTAATCTGTCTGATACCTACAAGAGTCAGGTGAGAGGGGTTGGAAGGCCTTAGGCAGTGTGGTGGAGATGATCTTGTTGCGAGGGGGAGCCAAAGGATGTCATATCTGACGAGATGAAACACCTTCGTGATCCCTGACTGTGAAATCAATTGGCGACTGGACGGCCCGATAGACATTCGGTGCAGACTGGCGGAACCGGCATCGGGAACCAGTGGTAATATTCCCTGGGCTGTAGTAGCAGGCCGCTGAAATGCCGACTGCATGAAGTACTTCCACATTTATCTACCCGCAGATCCGAGTCTTCCTGCACGAACGTGTATATTGATTACGTCAATTGAAGCGCACGCGCAAAAGATCTATACTTACATAACAGAAGTCAGACATGCAAGCATGCAGTAAGTAATATATATAACAGCAATAACAGAACAATTTCCCACTCACGTCAACCTGATCTCTATGTAAGTACATTAGAGGTCGTCAAACTTTCATCCAGGACTAAGAGGGTAGTGGTGTGTAAGTAACCGATATAAACAAACCGGTCGCCAAAAGAAATAGACACTTTAGTTTACTTCGGAAGTTCGGGCATGGTGATTACGTCCGCCTCAACAGACTTGTCGTCACTGTGGGTGATGTGTTGTGTAGGGGGGCCGTCGTGCGTCGGTTGGGGCTTGTGATCTGTGCTGCGGTCGTAAAAGATCGATATCGAGATGAATTGAAGAGCGACAACTCCAATGACGAACCAAAACGTCGCAGCTCGTCCGGCGTACTCATGCGAACCCCCATGGTTGGCCTCTACGGACGTCTCTATTGCGCTCATAGCAGCAAGACCTATTCCTGATCCAAATTGAAGCGCGCCGTTATAGATGGCACCAACTGTGCCAGCCTTGGATGAAGGCGCAGCTTGGAAAATAGCAATGCTGTGGGATAATTAACAGTGTTCAGAAAACCACGGTGATTTGGAATTTACTTCGAATGTGTAAAAGTCATCATGATTCCTGCGCTGCCTAGTGAAAATGCTGGGAACACATACAGCCAATAATTCTCGGACTTCCCCCCGCCGAGCGCGAGCAATAGGGTGGCGGTCATGCACAATGATAGACCAGTGAGAATAATCCACTTAGGACTGAAGATGCGAGAAAGTGATCCTGTGAAACTCGTAGCGAAGGCTACGATGCCAATCGGCGCCCTAGTGAGCAAAGATGTTCTTAATGATCGGCGACGTGGAGTGATAACGAAGGCCTTACATGTGGACAGCCGACGATATTACCGACCACTTAAACACGTTTTGCCACATGATGCTAAACGTGAACATCACTGCATTCCACCAGAAGGAGGGCAAGAGTGCAACGGCGAACAGAACGGAGAAGTTGTGGTAAAACCACGTCTGGGGTGGTCTGGTACAAGATCAGCCAATGATTAGTACTAGAATTCCCGATGACATACATTGCAGCTTCGTTCACAGGCAAGAGTGTTTCCCAGTAGAAAAACCCAACCACCATTAAAATCGAAACGATCAGGAGGACCAACACCATCGGGGATTTCCAACCAACAGTCGAACCGGATGTTACGGCGAAGATGAACAAGATGAAAGCAACTATCAGGGCCCGTGAGTGATGCAAAGAGGATTACGCCGCAACATTTGTACCAGTTAGAATGACTATGCCAACCAAATCAAGAGTTTTCCATTTCGCCTTTTCAGGATCAAAACTGCCTACAGTCTCTCCAATTTGTGACGGAATGATGAAAAAACAGACCAGAGCCACCGGAGAAGCCACGCAGGTTACAAACCAGAAGACCCAATGGTAAGAAGCCCATTGGACGAATATTGCGCCGACCAAGACACCACCCACTATGTAAAGGAGCTGTGAAGCCTAACTTGCAAGATTAGATATGCGGGATGCTCACTGTTGGCGACCGCACCGCAGCCTGCGAAGAACCCTACTGCCCGAGCTTGTTCGAGCGGATCGGGAAATACCTTGACCAGGAGTTTTAGGGCGGAGGGGATCGTCATTGCAGAAGCTAAGAAGCGCTCTTCGTCAGCAAGAACCAGCACAGCAGCGAGAATGGTCACCTATTCCAGTCATTGCTCTGAGAACAAGGATCGGAATTGTGGTGTCAACAAATCCGGCACACAGCGAGAGGATGCCAAGACCGGACACTCCTCCGATGAACACAGTTTCTGCGTGCCATTTAGCATGAATGTTTAATAAGGGCAGCATAGCGCTGACTTGGGTTGTATACGTCGCTGAGACGGCCACTCTAAAACAATGTATTGAAGTACAAGTGAGAGTTAACGGAGGAGCACGCACAATAAGCAGGAATGATGAAAAAGTTAATCGGAACGCACTAATCACCCAAGTGGATTGAGCTTCGTTCATACCCATGGATGCCTCGAGTGTAGGGATCGCAGACAAGAGAGCTGTTGTACTGAAGGTATCCATAAACTGAGCAAGACAACACATGACTAGCAAAACGAGTTTGCGGGGAAGAGAAAGTCTTTTGGGTTCATCATCTTCCAGGGAGAGGGGCGACGACATCATCCTGAAAAACCATGGACAATACTGAAAATTTCAGGCAAGATATTATATTCAGGAGGTCAGGAACGCACCAGCAGGCGAATGGCTGATATGAAATTGGTTGGAACGTAGTAGTATCTTGATGACCAACTAATTGAGTCAGAATCCCGAAGTACATCGTAGCCACGACTCACCGACTCACTGTAATCTCAACTTCGGGCGGACCCAGAGACCCTAGATATCAGTCATTGGGTGATCAAGAAGTTTGAAAACAATTTGAAGTGGGATCTTGCATAAATCATTCCATTGCCACCTCGGAGCTCAACTCCCTTGAGTTTTTACCCTGGGGGCGAGGGCAAGATGTACCGTTGCGTGGGCAGAAGCTGTACTTTTGAGGTATGATGCATGTCAGAGGAAGAGCGTTATGCCTCGTATGGAAGCGCACTGAGCGTTGGCAATGAGATTATGATGACGTGTATCTGGCCATAGGCTACGGGGACCAGCAGCTGGAAGGAATAACTGTCTTCCTTCTACTATTAGGTTCTGCCTACGGGACTAGAAGATCAGTGACATTTGTTAAGATATTTTGAAATGAAACCTTAGTAACAGTTCGTCCAACTGGTTAATCTTACACTTCGTGGCGCTATCGACTCCTATTCCCAATCCTTCTGTCAGACAAATTCCACCCTTATCCGAAAGTTATCGGGACAAATTTGGTGTCAACGCTCGTGTTTGGCAACTCAGCGTTGCGGAGGCATTCAAGGGGCTTAGGGGACCGAGACGTCCTTCAGCCAGCAGGCATTGGAACGAGCAAAACACCGGGGATCTGGATGCCATTGCTGTTCCAGCAAGGTGAGATTCAAATAACCATCGCCCCACTTAACATGCTAGGGAACAAAATCACTTGATGGGGCTGGTGTAGGAATAGCAATCAATGGCGGAACTGCTACACCTACGAACTTCTTGGTGAGTGCTGTGACTCACAGGCGAGATTTACCATACCTATTAATGTCGAAGGCCATTGGGTTCTAAGGTATGACGCAATCACTGTTAAAGAAGCAGCCCCGATTGTGTCCCCAAGCGGCCGCTGAATTGAATACCGATGACGATATGCGAGACCCCGCTAATCAAAATCCAAGACCGGGTATGATCTTAGCCAGTCGGGCTCCAACAAGGCGAAGTAAAACAATGTGTATCCAGTCGCATAAGCCGCAGGTAGCTCGGAAATGGCCTTGTATACAGATATAGTGGGGGCTGGCAAATGGTTGACCTTCGGGCTTCAACCAGGGACGTCTCAGAGCCCAATCTGAACATGTCTTTATTTCCGCGGCGCGTGAAGGATGGATTTGTCGGTCATTCGCAGCAGCTTCGTATTTCAAAGACCTGGGCCAGTGCATGTCGCCAACTTGACCAATTATCATAAGCATGGATTCGATCATTTAAACTGGTTCCCTTAGACCGCCCTGCAATCAACAATTTCACCGAGTCAAATTCGGAGTCATCAAAACAGCGGCACTGTGAATGAGGGAGCCACCATGCATCACTCACAGTGACCCACATGCTTCTAAGTAGAATCATACTCCGCACCTTTTCCCCAACGTTTAAGTTATTGTATATTTTGGGTTTCTTCCGTATGATGTAAACCCTGTAGAGGATGGTGTCTTTTCCTATGAGAGCTCAGAAGCGACAGATTCTCTGTCTTCCTGAAGAATCCATGGAAGAAGGTAGAAGAGACTGCAGTGATTATAAGCACACCGTACTCCAGGGGGGCGTGAACTTTGAAGTTTTAAATTTCGAACTCTGCGGTGTTAGTAAGCTACTGCCCGTCTGCGTCAAATTACGCAATGATCACGTGCCTATACCACATACATAAAAATTATAAACCCTCTAGACTATGATCACTCGGAGATTCAGAAGTGGCAGCATTTCTGTCCCGAGTTCGATAGAGCATTCCAAGGAGGAAGGAAAGAGGAAGGTAATGGGCGTGAATTTAATGACCGCTTAACGGGTTCATGATGTCCTGCTTAAACGCTGTGCATCTTTGGTGCATCGCATACTTATCTCCGGCTTCAAATAAGATTAATGAGATTTTGCGTCGGACATGTAACATTTCTTGCCGAGGTCTCATCCAAATCATCACCTCGTTGGTCTAATAAGTCTACTGCAGACAGTAGGTAGGTCACTTACGGCATTCAGCCACGTTGGTCGGCTTGGATATTCCCGTCGTCTCGAGCAGTTCTTTCCTACGTTCCACATTCTAGAACCACGACGTATCAGATCAAGCATGATGTGATTACCAGTTCTGTTGGCGCGTTGTAAGATCGATCCCATGGCTTGTTCCGGACGTGCCGAACCTCATTTTCCTCAAGCACGCTGACGCCATGATTTAAATCCCGTCAAAAAAGCCACAACAACGAACCAAGTATTTTTGCTAGAGTGCTGGTCCTAACTGACGGTGTGCTCTATAGTTGAATGGTCTTGTCGGATGAGATAGGGAGCCATCAGAAGAGATGGCAAGCGAGCAGATCCCCGGTGTAAGGATGATCGACCTATGCTCCTTTAGACGAATTTCAGCACCCGACGGCGCTGTTGTATGATGCGTAGACTATTTTCTTGCTGTCAAGCAACTGGCACGTAACGCTTCTAACCCACTAGTTAGGAGCGTTGATCAGCGTTTACGGTACGCCAAACCGTGGCACCGTAATGTACGGTCCACCGATCTAGATGCAAATTTTAGGGCTGAATCTGAAGATCTGATATTCGCCTGATTACAATGACCCTTCTCCACATTCCACATATAACAATCGTTGCATCAGCCAAGCCGCTTGCGAGTTTTGCCGTTGGTGGAGAAGCACACCGAATTCATTCAGCCTATACACTTCACCAGCCAACCGAGTAGCACGTACTTATTTGTATTCGAAATCCCAAACGACATCATGGGCAGGGCAGGGTAGCGGAGATCTGTATCACGTCCACCATTCACGATTTGTCTGTCGTCCTGCGAGACGGCGACTGTTCGCACCCCGGTCTGGTATCCATTGAATGATCATCCTACCCAATGCTGCTTTCCGCATATCCCACGTTCGTGAGGTGAACGTTTGAACTAGTCGACTATCTTTGAAGAAAGTGGGAGCACATACTCTGCGCTGACGCCAGCCGCCGCCCTCTCAAAATGAGATATACATATCTTGGTGGGTCACCAGCGAGGTCACCACGTCCGCCTGATACCTGGGGGTGTACCGTATATCCTATGTATCAGGCGCCCTAGATATGTGACTTTGACCTAAATAGAGAGATGGATGATCATTAGAATTTCAATTTAACTAGGAGCGCACGTTCGATATATTCTTGCTTCTTGCGTTGTGAATCTTGTGTGAGGAACGTTTGAACTGTTACATAGGGTACGGTTGAAAAATCGTCACGACTTTTCAATAGCTGTTTATAAACAGATCTAGACCGCCTCGGACCATTTATCAACAGCGTGAATATAGTTTTCACGGTGAAAAATTGTGAAAATTTAGAAATTCCAGTTGGTCACCCTCTTTTTCGACACTGGCACAATATTGTCCTGGGCCACTCGAACATTCTGGGAGCCGACGACAGGTACCGCATCTGTAAACCAGAAATTTGTCCACAGATATGGTAATTTCTGGCAGTTTCCCACAGCCACCCAAAGTGGTGACAGTGCTCACAGAATGTACAAGTCGCTAGGGCTGGCCACCGTAACCGTATACGGTTACGACCGTACAAGTTACGGTGGCCTTACGGGTACCACCCGTATCGTACCGTATGACATACGGCTTGCTGAAAACCCTCGACGGTACGGCACGGGTCACTTTACGGGTATAAGGACAGCTATACGGACATACGGGAGACGAAAAAAATAGAGTTATCGTGCCGACTGAATAAGTCTCCGAGCAGAGCAAATCAACACGATCCTTCAACTCACTTTGTAGTGTCGCCGACTCAGCAACTCTTGCACCTACACACCTAGCCGTGCCACAACTGCTGGAATCCCAATCGTCCACCGCGAGCATCGCCGAGACGGCCGACAAACAGATACCCAATGACGACTAGAACGTCCGAGCGCAAGGGTAACGGGCCAAGATAACGTAGTATACTCACCTGTTAGTACACGTTTCATCAATGCGCTCGGGTAACAAGGTGAAGCCGTACTGCATGATTATGAAGGAACGACAAACATGGTTCCAATATATGAATGCGACCAAAACGTCGTCCAGATCTGCATGCAGTCGAAGAGATTTGAGCATCTTAAGTACATTTTTTCGCAAAGTCCCTCAGCGCGCCACAGCCATCATGAAAGGGAGGAGGCTTACAGGCAGTGCCGCAGTGAAGATATTGTGGCGGAACATAGGATTGTCAATGGCAAGTGGCTCTCGGGCCCAGGATCCAGGTTGATGGAGCTCGGTGCTCATCAACATCCGGGAATCCGCGACACATTGGTCCAGCGTGAACATGCATAGAAGCCGCAGGTGTGGCTGAAAGTCGTCTAGGTTGTGCCCGAATGCGTACGTATAAGTCATCCGATTCATCGAGTCAGGACAGTCTCCCATAGCTAGACCAATCGACGAAAGTTGGTCGTTCCTTTGTATTCGAATTCAGGATCATTCCCTGAAATGAACTCACCCCAAACGAACGTGCTGGACATTACATGCATCCCATGCCAGCGCACGTCGGGACGCCAGAAATATTATGGCTGCTTGTATTTGGTCCACAAGAACAGAGAGCTTTCATATACATGGGCAAGTGATAACGGATACGTCAAGGACTTACAAAGTATATACAAATCGCAGGCTTCAACTTTGTCGAGCTTCGCCCATCAGCCTCGCCAGCTCGTGAAAATCTTTAACCACAAGATCCACTTCACCACCGTCCTTCTTGCTACGCATACTCTCCCTTACTTCACGCGAATCTTCAGTAGGTCGTGGTACGTATATCGTCTTGAAACCGACGCTGGCGGCAGCAAGGAGGTCTAACCTGTGCGCAGCAACCATTGCTATCTTGTGAGGAGGTAAAGAAAGGTGGTATGCTGCTGATAGATAGACCAGTTTATTACTGCTCGGGTATTAGTGTGCGAGACAATCAAAGTGGTGATGGAGACATACGGCTTGTAGGATCCGAAATTTTCCGACGAGAAGATACCATCCCAGGGAACGCCTTGGTTCTTTGCCTGTAACGTTGATTAGAAAAGATATTTGGTGCGTACTTTGGCATCTCAATTACCAGGTCAAGAAGCAATCTGAAGTTTCCATTTGATAGAGCAAGGATATTGACATGACGTTTGAGTTCCGTCAGGCCAGGGATGGTGTCCTGGTACACTTTTAAGATTAATGGTTTAGTACTGAGATATTTCTCTAAACATTTCTAAACATTCGTACCGTCCAAGTTGTGCCAAATCATTGTAAGCTCTTTACGATCGGTATCCCCCCAGACTTCTGCAAGATGAGACCACCGTGGTGTGGTGAGCATATCATCCAGGATCTGCGGTGCCGTTAGACGCAAGTCGTTTATATGGTGAGTACAACTACTCACTTGTCGATGCATAATGTCTGCGTTAAAAGTACCCTCCTCGCCCTGGGTGACTCTTTTGCTATATGAACGTGCACGTCATGATCCGGAAGCCAAGATCAAATAGCAATGAACTTGCATATATGCATAATATCCGGCTCTCCATTCTTGTGCAAAATCGACTGCGCCCTGCGAGCCTAATGTATGCTAGCACTGTGAGAGTATTTACGAGACTGTGGAGCCTGCTACTTACCTTCGAGAAGCAATCCCTTGCTAAGGCGGGCTACTTGCCGAGTGACTGTACTGTGCCAGTTAAGGACGGTACCGAATACGTCGAACAAGCAGGTGTCTATTTCGCAGAGGTCGAGGTGTTCGGTGCTTGTCATGGTCGTTGGGGAGGATGAGTTCCGGGAGCCGGATCAGTTGGAGTCAATGTCGAGTCACATGCCAGTGGCCGTGCATCATTCTACACGCGTAGGTGCATGTGAATAAGAAAGCCTTCAAGCTACCCATCAAACTAGCGCGTCGAGTCTGGATGCGACGTCATTGTTCTCAACAGAAGGTCACATACCAGACAGTCCAGAGTCCAGACTCGACGGCTAGCTAAGTATGATCAGTCCACCGCTGGATCGGTGTGGAAGTTGTAGCGTATGTTGAAAAGTGCGCGGGATCATGGTAGCGGTGGTGGTGGTGGTGGTGGTGGTGGTGGTATCTCCTGGACCATTCGCAGTGCAAAATCTGTCGTCATCATATATTGCACAAGAAGGGGGACACTGATCATGATCGATCGATGATGAGTTGATTTTAGAAGCAAATATGGTGAGAAGTTTTCGGGAACTGCCGATTTCTCATTAATGGTTTGGACATTTAGCAAATCTGCTGGCTGTACAGACTCCAACCCATTCACTCGTGGGGAGAAGTCCTCTCGATCCTAGAGCAGCCACGTTACAAATAAAACATAACATTAGTAATCATAATATAGCCGAAATTTTGGAGGACAACTCCCCACAGAGCGACTGGTAAAACTTGTTGTGGCGCGATAGTAAGGTCTTGTTTGTCCCGCCCAAAAAAAATCAACCTGCCGCCTATCTCACGTATGTGTCAGCCTGTGTCCCGCCCTCCCGCCCCGCCACTTCCATATATGGGTACTACGTACACACACACACTGAACATGTAACGGAGCAGGCTGTATTACAATTAATAGTGTAGTATCCTTAGTACAAGACAATGAAAATACTTCTGTACCCCCGTTGCACAATGTCCGCCAATCCTCCAGCTAGCGCCGTGAACACGATCCTTCAACTTATGCTGGCAAACGAAGTTTCACTCTGGGATCTCACGAAAATGGTGTTGTCAACACCACGGCCGAACTATCAACCAATAAAGGACTCACTTCGGCAGCATGCGGTTGAGATTTGCTGTCTGCTCTTCTCGTCGGTTGGATGTCGTGAGATCGTGTTTAGCTGGGCTTTTGAAATAGTTGTCGAGGTTCTGTGTGAAGAAATAGTTGATCTATCGAGCGAGTGCAACGGCCTGCACTTCAAAGCGTCAAAAACGACGTCTACACAACTTGAAGATTCGTTTATGCGCACACTTGCGCTAAAAATCAAAAAAGTCGCACCAAATGTATTCAAGATGTTGCTCGCTCTGCTGGATGCAAACCCGGGGCGCAGGCGAAAATTCTCGGTGGCGGACATTACAGAAATGTTGCGAGAATACGAGGAAGGTGTACACGAGGACGAGGAGATGGACCTTGGTGAATTTGGGGGGGACGACTCTGCCGTGATTAACGAGTCAGATTCCAACAAAAGGAGGCACGAGAATGACGAAGGGAAAGCACGGAAACGGCAACGACGAGCTGGAGAAAGGAATGCAGCACTAATGATAATAGTGCGTGAGTTCTCAAACAACAATGTGCAGATCTGAGCTGACTTACCGAAGAAAACAGTGATCTGCGCGTGCATCTTTGCGCAGAACTCAAACGAGCGCTGCAACACACTGCAGTGCATCTTCGGCATCTTTCTGCACTCATCTGGCGTACCGCAGAGAGTTATAGATGTACTTGCACATGCTGGCTTCTCTATCAGCACGCAATCCATTACGACAGCCGTAAAATCCCTGTCAAAAGAAGCGGGCGTTCAAATCAAACGAGCAGTGCAGACACTGACAACAGCACTTGCCTATGACAACTTCGACATCGATTTTAAGACCGCACAGCCAACAATCGAGCATCAATCCCAATTCGTCAGTTCAACTTCTGCAACCGCAATACCATTGTATGGTGTTGATGACCCCGCTGTCCTTCGCTGCTCGCAGGAGATACGACAGCGTGAATTGAGCGGTGCGGTAAGGGCATCCCTAGCTGCTGGAAAACTCACAGCGAAGGATTTGCGCATTTTTCATCAAGAACATTCTTACGGAATGGCCTTACCAGGACAACGAATATCTCCACGCGAGGAAAACTTCGCCTGGCACGTTCGCGACATCCTGCTCAACCACGGTGAGCATTTCGACTTCCTAAAACATCAGAATGGCAATCCAGCCATTGTTAACGCCATCCCGCTGCACAAAACGACACAAATACCTTGCCGAGCGATGCCCATTAAACAATCAACGACCGATGGAAACATTGAGGTGATGGACAGCCTTTTGAGACAGGGCGGAATCGGGGAGTGCGAAGACGTCAATTTTGATCCGCAGTACGATGTTGATATGTCTGAGCACGTCCTCCTTGTCCATGGAGATCTTTTGACAAAGGAACGGTTAGATGCGATTGTCAAATCACGACGCATCGAGGACACACCAAAACGCCGCTTTCAACACGTAGTATTCGTTCCTGGTCTCTTCCATTTCAAAATGGCGTGTGCTGATGCGCTGTGGCGGACGTGGATACAACCACAAGCTGGTCGAACGTGGATACAACCACAAGCTGGTCGAACAGATGTCAATAGCCTATGGCAGCATGTTGGGATCTTGAGGCCACGCGAAACCGGGAAATTCGCGTCGAAACCGGGCTTTCGAAGGATGCATGACGTGATCCATCACGATCTCTGGGCGTCGATACTCGACTGTTGGCTGGTTGAGGCTCAAACAAGAAACAGTACATGGGACTCACTCGAAGTGTTTGCAAAATATCCACCAACATGGGAGCTAATTGTTGAGATGTCAGAGTGTATTGTCAACAAGTACGTTACCAATACAACGATACTCATGCACCTGCGCCAACAACCCACACAAGAGCGCGACCAGCGATTTGAAAACCAGGTGCTCCGTAACCGCGACGAACTACTCTACGTTGACCTCTGTCATGCGTTGAACAGCGGGGACATCGGACGAGTCGAGGCCTCTTTCTTATCGTGGATCTACATATTCAAGGCAACAAAAAAGCATAAATATGCTTATCATACAGCGCGCTTTATGGTACAAATGCGATACGTTTATCCCGAGGACCTACAGTGCGTATGATTCTGTCAGAGTATGTTGCACATTAACAAAATATAAATATAATACCTATAGACGAATAATCCGGCTGAATTGGCTTTGCAACCCCACAGGAAAGGCGTTCAAATTTCGACCTGTGGACTGGCTTGTGGAGCGGAACAATCTGTATACAAAGGTTCGAGGTTTTCGTCAGCAAACTAAAGTAGAACACAGCTTGACAGAACATTGGTAGGTCATTTTTGCGGGGACAGGATCAAATCACACGCTTCAACACATCATCAACGAGTCCCCTCTGATTGAGCTTTATCGGGAGTGCCACGTCATGATTGAGAACGGATTCCATCTGAAAAACCGCACCATGAAGCATGCGCCGCCAGATATGACGAAGACACTACAAAAACTGCGTGATGAAATACAAAGCCACTCACCACATAAATTCGTTGCTGGAAGACGTGCTGATTATCGAGTGGAGGATGAGATTGTTGAAGGGATGACCATGTTGATGCGGGACAAGGAAGCGTTAATGGATTGTGATGGAGAGGTGGATGTAATGGGGCCTGAGGACGTCATTGATTATTGACGCTACTGCTAGTAGCACCACTAGGGACCGTGTTTTCTTGATCGATGTTGGAATTGGAACCAGCCCCGCGCATTGGACAAAGACGGTTCCTTGCTGTCGACAGGAACTCAATTGCGATCGGTGCAGAACAACAGTGGACATACCATTATGGCCGACTTGCTTGCATTTGGAACACACTGTTGCTTTGCGTGGTTTCTTGAGCGTCGTGTTGCTACGGACGCTTGTAGAGAGGACTGATGGGTCAAGCGCTGCTTGGGGTAATGTATTGGTGAGTTGAATGTTGGGTTGTGGTGCTGGTACAACGGCTGGGGGAGGATAGTGGTTGCGAACCAAAACCAAGACATTTTCGCCATACTCGTCCGCGTAGCACCAATCCGTTAAGTCTCGGAGGGCAGAAACATCAGATAGCTTTGAGTGGTGGGAGAGATCAATGATCCGTGTTAAGATCGGATCAGGAAGAATAAGGGCAGGACCAAAAAACGGATCGTTTATCCCCAAATCAACAAGCAGCTTCTGGCGCCAGACATTGAGGTCGTTCCGTAGTGCATAGTCCCTTGCGTCCATCTCGTATGCAGCAAGCTTGGTTTTCCGTTTTCGCTTTGGCTTTACTGGAGGAGAGGTGTAGAAAAGTAAGAATGCGTGGGGAGTGCAAACGTCACAACAGAACCGTGGCTTCATTGTGCGCTTCTCGCATCTCGTACAACAATAACCATTGTCATCATCTTATGTTATAGAATCATCAGGAACAGCCATCACATCAGAACACAACAAGACTCACCAATCAAATTATTCCCAAAGTACTCATCTGTTATTCTGCGCCTACAGATCGTTCGATTTTCAGCATCAATGAAGGCTTCCATGGCTGCTACCTCGTACTCTTCTACGTCTAGACCAGCAGATGATGGCAGGAGCTTGCCAGGAGTTAGTGTGGAAGCGCTGACCGTATTCCTGTCAGGTGCAACGGTATCATTAATTTCATCAGCGTCTGATTCACTGCTGCTATCATCGCTCTCGTGACGTTCAGGCTGTTCACAAGTCCTGCCCCCATTATTCCCCTTTATCACGATAGCTCGTTTCACGTCGCCCACAGCCCCTTCAAGGCATACCACCTTCTTTGGAGAACCCTGTTGGACTCTCGCTTTCCGTTTCCCATGTTGTACCTTCCTCACATGTCCCCTCCTTCTCTTGTAATCCTTTTCGACAAAATATATTCCGCTTGCCTCAATGGAAGGATCTCGAGCAGCGCGACCTAGCCGTTGCATCAATGTACACAGACTGTGTATGTATCCCCATTGGACTACTAACTCAACGTCTCGAATGTCAAGTCCCTGATGTATCACATTAGCATGGATGTTTGATTGAAGGCCAGCGAGACGGAGCGAACTGACCATTCCCGCAGCATCCGTACAACACATCCCCCACAATTCGCCTCTGCGTAACTTCTCCATCATGTCGGTTCTGAATTCCTGCGTCATTCCGGAGTGAAACCAGACGATTTTGTGCTGGAGCTCTGGACGAAGCTGACTGTGCAGGTACTCGGCCATTCTCTGCGAGTCTTGTCTCGAGTTACAGAATATCATGAATTTTGGGGGACGTATTGCTTGTAGCAAGTGAAGAACGCGATTGATGTCGTGGAAGCTGTTCGCTGAATGTAGCATCTCAATAACGGCGACCTGTATGTTGCGTCGGTCGTTCGAAAGTCTGATCACTGAGGTGTTGTCATGGCGCATATTCAGAGACGCTAAGACATCTTTCAGGATGTGTGATGGCAAGGTCGCCGAGACAACATGAAAAGGTACATGCGATGGAAGCAGCCAGCGGAGTCTCCCAAGATGACTATATTCAGGACGAAAGTCCTTGCCCCATTGACTAATACAGTGCCCCTCGTCAACAGTGATATTGAATAAGTGCGCCGTAAAGTCTCTCGTTCTCCATATATTGTCGAAGCGCCGGTCGTTAATAATAAGCTCGGGGCTCACGACGATCACTCGGTATTTACGGCTCTTGATATCTGCCTCGTAGATCAGGGTGACTGCAATGATAGTGAAAAAGACTTTACATACCTTGAATTGTGCTGTCTGTTGCATTTGCGCCAGTCAAATTCACCGCGGAAATGCCCAGCTGCTGCAACTCAGTGATGTTCTGGTCACCGAGTCCGTTGAGCGCAGTAATAAGGACTATGATGCCATCATGATTGAAAAGAAGAGGAATCCAGAACGTTAGCGTTTTTCCCGCCCCCGTTGGAGCAATGGTAATAACATCCTTGCGATCCAGTTGTGCTTGAGCACACTGCAACTGAAATTTGCATGGCGCGATGTTGAAATTGACTTCAACGGTGTCCTCGATCACTGAGGCATCTGGGATCGTATATCGTAGAGCAGACATTGCGTGATAAATCTTGTCGAAGAAGGGTTTCGCATCAGGAAATTCACCGTCGCAGCACAGGCTTACATCAGCCTTCCCGAAAGGGAATAGGCGCGTGCTGTGCTGGCGGGGAGCGGGAGGACGACTTGTCAGCGCGTTCGAGGACGAACGAACGGTCCGACACGTTCGAAACGAAGGGCCATCGACGGGCGGCTGCTCCGGGCACGTACTGGCGCGGTTTATATGGAACTGGGCAGGCTGGGAGGCTGGAGGCAGAGGAGGGAAGGGAAGGACGGCATCAATTGGGTTGACGTGTTGACAAGGTGAGAGCCGAACTTGAGTGCCAGAAAGGGCCAAGCGAGCTGATGCCGTCAAAGAACCGTAAATTTCCCACAGAAACCGCAAATTTCTCGACCCGCAGCTGTCTGCTTGGTCTCTTTTTCTCGCAGGCGCGCCAGCCAAACCCAAGGTATGAAGTGTTCCCGCCTGATAACTTCACGGTCTCGAGATTTACCGTCCTACCTACCTAGGGTGACATACTGCCACGCGTGGCTCATATTTTTGGCTCGCCATCTCCGTGTTTGTGGGCGAGGTTGCCATTCTGCGGCGGAGGTCTCCGCGTTTGGCATTGATGACCTCAGGAAAACGGTTGACTGGTGATGCCGCTTGTTCGTGTGCTGTTGTCACTGTCGCGCTAGCGCACGTCGACGAGACTCTCAACTACTGGCTACCATCTGCCCCTCATTCTGGAGCCGAACACTTTTTGCTTTATTCCTTCCTAGGTGAACAATCCGCTCAAGCTCGTCCTATCTGGTGTTCTTAATATTTACCCTTCCTCCCTCTTCTATCCGCTCAAGCTCGTCCTATCTGGTGTTCTTAATGTTCACCCTTCCTCCCTCTTGTTCTATCCCTCGCCTACTGCCTTCTCCGCTCAAGCTCGTCCTATCCAGTGTTCTTAATATTTACCCGTCGCCCACTGCCTTCTCCGTCTCGAGCTCGTCCTATCTGGTGTTCTTAATATTTACCCATTGCCTACTGCCTTCTTCCGCTCATCCCTCGCCTACTGCCTTCTCCGCTCATCCTCATCCTATCTGGTGTTCTTAATATTTGCTCGCCTACTGCCTTCTCCACCTCGAGCTCGTCCTATCTTTTTTTTAAAAATATTTACCCATCACCTACCGCCTTCTCCGCTCATCCCTCGCCTACTGCCTTCTCCGCCCAGTCCTATCTGGTGTTCTTAATATTTACCCATGTTCTATCCCTCGCCTCCTGGATCTCTCCCTCCATGTTCTATCCCTCGCCCCCTGGATCTCCCTCCGAACCTCCACCTGCATCTATCGCTGGTGTGAAATGCCCAGCTGCCATTAGCATGAGGAGGACTGGGCTTGAGGTCCCCCCCCCACCGTTGCCGAGTCACTATCATGCTCGAAGACCAAGCGAGTGAGTTTGTGACCTGAGCATGTTGTTGTATTACCCCTCACCTTTACTCTAGTCTACAGGAACTTGTGTTCATGCTGTGTCAAGCCTACGCTTCTCGAGCTGCGCTGTGCTATATTCTGGCATTCACGCTGTGTCATGCTTACGCTCGAACTATGCATTCTTATCTCAATTATGGTGTTTTGTGTTCACGCTGTGTCAAGCCTACGCTCGAGCTACGTGTTCTCGTGGCGTTCACACTGTGTCACGCCTGAAGGCCTTAGAATCCTTAGTCGAGTGGTTTTTAAAAAATTCAATGCCCATTAATTCAATTTAATTGTGTCAATCAACTGCAACTACAGCCCACTGCCTGATTCATGCACACGAGCAAGTGCGACCACAGTTTGTGCATGGGTCACTGCCTGCTCGGTCCGGGTTGAAGTAGTCTTCTCTCTGGAGGAGAGGTGCATCATTCCACGAGAGGAGGTATTTGAAGATCGTTCCAGGGTTGTCGAAGTTCTCCGCCCAGCCTCCCCATGTGCAGATCTGCCGGAGTGGCCACCTTAGCACCATTGCAAGATACTGACAGCCTCCACGGCGGAACGAGTGGGTGCCATAGGGCCGCGGATCAATGCCGATGTCCAGGAGATTGTTGCGAAAGCACTCCAGGAAGGAGTCCGCGGTCTGAGGGCATGATGTATCAGCGGCGCGGCCACACCACGCAAACCACAAGCATTCCTTACCATTGCATCGTGCGGACTGGCACTAACTCCATCTCTGCCCATTTTTTTCCGAAACACGTACCCATTCACGTCAATGTTGAGCTCGCGACAACGCCACCACCAAGCTGCCCACAGGCGAACTGGACACATCCAAGGCTTCTCTCGGTTTTCGTACAAGTAGAATGGCACGATGCCCCCATATTGATGCGTCTTGCGGAAGGGCAGCATGAGACGGACACGCCGAGGATGCTGTGGTTGACAGTGTTCAAACTGAACATCATTCCAGGTGATACGAAGGACTTCCTCGAAGCGAAGCAACACGAGCATGGCCGTGTTGAACATCAGCTGAAGCATTAAGCGGGTGGTCGAGCCAGCCCAGTTCTGGGGTGCCTGTGCTTTCCGTTTTTTGGATGCTGGTCCGAGATCATCATCGACAAAGTTGATGTTATGCTCGTACAGTTCTTTCATGGTTTGTTCATCGATGGCGCGGGCACTGGTCACCACCTCACCTGCGCGAACCTGTTCCTAGAATGTGAGAACATGGGCCACAAGCATTGGGATGTGAGTGCTGACCTTCCGACGACCGAGGCTGATCATGTATTGCGATACCGTGACAGAGAGTGAAGGGTTTCCCCTGAAATGGCCTGGTCGCAAAGAGTCCTCCAGCCATGGTTGTGTGCCACGTCCATGGTCACGTCCGTACTTGTGGCTGATCGCGGCGCGCATCTTTTGTGCGGTGGCATATGTGACACGTGTCATGGTCAGCTCTTTTGCTTTTCCAGTGAATATATCAACGTCGTCGGCTCTGTTAATGCATTCGCCGTCAGCATGCATGAACGTGGCGGCAAACGCAACACACAAACCTGTCCATGATCCACATTGCGATCCATTCTGGAAAGTCGGCAGGGAGATCTGGGTAGAGGTCCTCGACATCGTTGGCGTGCTTAACCTTGTCGACGTCGCAGCAGAAGTTTTTGAACTGCTCCCAAAGCCTGAAAGCAAGGCAATTAGATGTAGAATATGGCTGGGACGTGAAGATGTTCACCTTTTGTATTCAGACAGTGTGTTGCTCACGATGATGTTCTGTGAGGCTGTCTTCAAGTTTTTCGACATCATGTCACTGTCTAGCTTGCGCTTTTTCGAGGGTTCCGCTGGCTGGCGTAAGTAAGTGCCACTCGACGACTGCTGCTTGTCGTCAATGTCAGCAGCAGCCATCAATGACTCGATCTCCTCCTCCTGGTCATTGGCAACAGCCTCGTATGTTACCATTGCTGCAGCATCAGTAAGGTAGCGCTTTGCACCCCCTAGAGGAGGTGTGTGCAGCTCCATGACACGAGATATGTCGTCGATGGTGGTGGCCATGGTGCAGACGGTAGTAGTGGTATCATTAAGCAGTGTGATCGCCGAGAATTGAACCCCCTGTCTCAGGAGTTCGGCTAAAACGTCTCTCTTGCCACCCACTCGTCAGTACTATGCCTGCCGTGGAGATCATCAGCCTACCTGTCCTGGGGAAAATGCTTGGAGTAAATGAGCAGCCAGAGATGGTAGATTTTTGCATGTGGATTCTATTTCACTCACCATGATGAAGGTAGCGGCTGACTCGAAATCACAGACGGCAGGACACAACAGTGAAGGTGCTGAGAGAAAAGCTCAAGGAATATGGCCTCCAGTCTACTGGAAAGAAGGTCGACCTCATCGAACGACTGCGTGAGTATGCGACTGACGACAGTAGCTGGAGACTGTGAGTTGATCATCAGGCTGGGGCTCCATCTGATGTTCCTGGCAAGCTGACCGTGCTTCACAGCCTCTTCCAACCCGCACAAAAGGGCACGAGAGGAAGCTACACCGGTAAACGAATGGCGAAATTGTCAGCGCAGCGCATCACGTCGCAGTTTGGGGAGCACGAGCTGACTTTAGTGCAGCACAAGAGCAAGCGGGGTGGCATCAGCCGCATGGTGCACAGTCTCACACCCGCTGACATCAACAGCAATGATGCTTGGGTAAGTCTCGAGGCCTCCGAGTGTTACCAGCGCATGCTAACGGGCGAGATTGGCAAGGCAACTGAAGTCCTGCAAAACGTCGAAGCCTGGCAGAGCAAGCCTACTACCACACGACAAGTCACTGCGCTGCCCACTCCTTCACCACCAACAGAATCACCGTGCTCGACTCAGCCCAACTTGAGGAACCCACAAATCTCACTTCCTGATGAGGCTGAACTGACTGCTGAGGTGCGCTTGCATCTTGTTTGGTGGAACGTGCACATCGGCACCAAATTAGCTAACTGAATTCCTTATCAGGATGGTCGAAGCCTGAGTTTGCGCTTCAGACGCTTGGAACGTACCGTCGCAGGCCTGGAGGACACACTCATAGAGCGCGCATATGACCTCGAGATTGGGATCAGCAAGAGGGTCACTCGTGAAATTGCCCCCCCTCTTCAACCATGCCAACTTCGATCATGCGTCAGGCAACAGCGTGCCTCAGCACCCACTTTGGCCTCTTCAGCCCACAGACCAGCCTGCAGCACCAAGGCTGTCCAGCATTGTACCGACTGTGACTCACCCAGCAGTGTCTGCATTGTCGATGCAGGCCGTCACCAACCCAGTCCACGTACCTGCGCAAACCATCCCACCAAGAAATCTCGCCGTCGTCCAGCTCGAAGATGGAGAGCTGGCATTTGACAAGACCGCTGTCATGCGCCCACCGGCAGTGCGGTTCTCGACTGATGTCAGTGCTCTGTTCAGAGAGTGGCACTGCTTGACGTACCTGGTCGTGAATGGGCGCGGAATCCCCGTCAAGTACTGGGGGGAGGTGTACAAGAAATGCGCGGGAGAGAACAGCAAGGCGTGGGCGCTGCGAAAAGTTCAATGGGGGCAATGGAAGGTGAGTTATAGTTAGTACTCACGCACAAGACCTTCGGACCGCTGATGCCTTCCATTTGAACTACAGTTCATCGTCGAGGAGCGGTCACGTTTCGCGTCAGACGACGCATTCTGGGCAGCCTGGAGTGACGCCAGTGGACAGCGTGCTGGATACACCCAGATCTGCGACACTCTGCAACGTCAGCGTGTGCAACAAGATGCACAGGACGCCGCAGCGGCTCGCACATTCTTTGGCGGCAGCCTCGACCACTCGGATGCCAAAGGGGCCTTCGCATACCTGAAGTCTGGTGTGGCAAGGCTGATGAGCAAGGATGTCGACGTTGCTCGCAAGTGGAGGGACTTACTTTCTGCAGACAGCGCTCTCGCCCAGCGCTGGGAGGAGACGCGCAGCCCTCGCTAGTGAGTTGGTACGACGACAATGGCAAACAATGGCAAACGACGACGACGACGGACAGCGTGTTTTTCCCGTCGTTTGGAACTCGGACTCGAAGTTCCACTGGTGCACGTTGTTGGACTGACCTGTCCGAGCCATCTGCCTCTTCCACCACCTACCTTTGGCCTTTTCCTTCCCTTTTCCCTCTTCCGTTTGTACTCGCTCCTTCCCGCACGCCCAGGACGGCATTATTGTTAATTCGAACATAGTACACCTAAATCCCCCACTAAACTCCCTAGCTAATTCGTACCTACCTAGAAAACCAACCACCTACTTTGTTATAATAGAGGCACCTTTCCCTCCCGCTTACTCCCTGGCCCCGCAAACGACGAAACGCGCAGCATCCGCCCTTGTTTTTCCCCCTTCCCCCTCCGCCAGGTGCCAGGGGTCCCGCCACCTCAAACCGTGAACCACACCGCAAATCTCCCACGGCCGACGGTGAATTTCTCCCAGGAAGTAGGAAGGTGATATCTTAATACCGTATATGGAAGTGGCGGGGCGGGAGGGCGGGACACAGGCTGACACATACGTGAGATAGGCGGCAGGTTGATTTTTTTTGGGCGGGACAAACAAGACCTTACTATCGCGCCACAACAAGTTTTACCAGTCGCTCTGTGGGGAGTTGTCCTCCAAAATTTCGGCTATATTATGATTACTAATGTTATGTTTTATTTGTAACGTGGCTGCTCTAGGATCGAGAGGACTTCTCCCCACGAGTGAATGGGTTGGAGTCTGCTGGCTGTACAGTAACATGTGGTCAACGACGACGACGAAAAGCTTTGTGTATTCAAGTCACTAATTGGGACGGCCGTCTATCATCCAGTTCCTGTCATTGTCATTCACAGGACTTGTCTTAAACATCGTTCTCCAAGCCGAGCGGCTCAAATCTTACCTCTGCATCGAATTCTGCTGCTTTCTCGTTGCCAGTCGTTGGTTGTGTTGTAAATTTTCTTCCGGGTTGTCGCTTTGTCACAAGACCCTTGCGCATCAAGACGTGGGCACTAGCGCTGAATCTGCTGTGTCATATATGCACGGCCACGCTATTCAAAACAGCAGAGATTATCATGAGGCAACAGACGCCGTATCCCGTGCCCTCCAACTCTACCATGACTTCCACCGGTACGCTGTCCTGCTATGCATTTCGTTTGTTTGCGCTACACTGCCAAATGGTACCAGCGTCCCTTCACTCGATGCCAGTGATTCTCAATCCAGCAATAATACCAGGACCTTGCGGGACATCATCTGGAGCTGCGCTGCGACCTTATTTGCATGTACGTGGAATGCAACCCATCCGAACATGGTCGAATTCATTATGGTCATCGCGCTATGATCACCTGGGCCACGAATCAGTTTCTAAGTGCTCGTGACACTGCAAAGGACTTCGGTGCGCAACTTCACCGGACCTGCGGCGATGAAATTTCAATATCGGATGGAAGGAATGGTCCACGGTCGAATCCTCTGCGTGCTGGAACTTGCTCGGCCTGTCGGTCATCGGTTACTAACCTACAATGACTCTCTCACAGGATGAACGACCACGCATAGGTTATTCGCATGGATGGGTGGATTTATGCTCGATGTTTGACAAGCCGCGGGCCACTCTTATATATATTGTTGCACGCGTTACACTAATTATACTTTTATTGCTGAGTTCACTTACGCTGCATCCCAGCGTAAACGACACTTTGCTTGCGTCGCAATCATCGAGATAAGCTCCACACAATCGAATAGGGGTTATAAGCATATGTACATTTGTACATCACAAAATCTATCAGCGTGATACGCTCCAACGGTGTAAAAGGGAGGGAGGCTTATAGGCAGTGAAAATATTGCCGATCTAGAGGACAATGCGCTTCGCAAGTGGATCTTCCAGGACCTCTAAACATATTAGTCAAGGAGCTCGATGTTCATCCGACGACGCGCGACATGTTGACCCAGCGTGAACATCTCCCCTAGCCAGACCAGTCGAAGCAAGATAACCCTTTCCTTCATGTTTGAACCAGGACTACTAGTGGGGGATAATTTTTTGATGGGGACTCGCTTTGGAGGAACGTTGTGTGCCAGGACATCGCACGTATCATATGCCAGCGTACGTCAGGACATTAGAGAAATTGTAGCAGTTTGCGTTTCGGCCATGAAGAACGGAGATCTCTCATATGTGTTGCGTACACGAATATCCCCTTGTCCTCGCATCACTAGGTGCTAGAACAAGAAAGACAGCTTACGGAAAATACCTCAATAATTTGAATTTGTTCGTTCGCTGCATTCCCAAGCGTTCTCACCGCTGGATGGGACCTACAGGATATATACGAATCGCGGGCTTCAACTTTGTCGAGCTTCGCCCATCAACCTCGCCAGCTCGTGAAAATCTTTAACCACAAGATCCACCTCACCGCCGTCCTTCCTGCTACGCATACTCTCCCTTACTTCACGCGAATCTTCAGCAGGTCGTGGTACGTATATCGTCTTGAAACCGACGCTGGCGGCAGCGAGGAGATCGAACTTGTGTGCAGCAACCATTGCTATCTTGTGAGGAGGTAAAGAAAGGTGGTATGCCGCGGATTGGTAGACCTGCTTGTTGCTGCTGGGGTATTAGGGTGCGAGACAGACGTAAGAGTGATGGAGACGTACGGCTTGTACGATCCGAACATTTCAGACGAGAAGATACCATCCCAGGGAATGCTTTGGTTCTTTGCCTGTAGTGCTGGTTAGCGAAAGGATTTCATGTGTAGTGCGGCGACTCAATTACCAGATCGAGAAGTAATTTGAAGTTTCCGTTTGATAGAGCGAGGATGTAAACGTGGCGTTTGAGTTCTGTCAGGCCGGGGATAGTGTCCTGAAACGCTTTTGAGGGGTCAGCAGTCGGGTTCAAATGGTGTTACACTGCAAGTTCGGACCGTCCAAGTTGTGCCAAATCATTGTTAGCTCTTCACGATTAGATTCCCCCCATATTTCTGCAAGATAGGACCAGCGTGGGGTGGCGAGCATATCGTCCAGTATCTGTGATATTGTCAAACACGGGTCGTGTGTATGCACGCTCAAGTCTGAACTCACCTCTCGATGCATGATGTCGGCGTTAAAAGTACCCTCCCCGCCACGGGCTACTTTTTTGCTACGTAAAAGGGCAGATCATGATTCAGAAGCAAAGGGTGCAAAGCAATAAATTTACACATGAGCAAAATATCCGGCTCTCCATTCTTCTGCAAAATCGATTGCATTCTGTGAGCCTGATGTATGCGACATGGCGATCAGTGAGAATTTTATGGGAATATGGGATCCGCTACCTTCAATAAGTAGCCCCTTGCTAAGACATGCTACCTGGCGGGTGACTGTACTGTGCCAGTTAAGGACGGTCCCGAATACGTCGAACAAGCAAGCGTCTATTTCGCGAAGGTCGAGGTGTTTGGTGCTTGTCATTATTGCTTCAACAGACGGAACAGATGAGCCGGGAGCTGCTGGGAGTTCCTGGAATGGGTTCAGGTGGTGTGAGTATTCGGGCACATGGCACCATCACTGCACACGCACACTAGGGTAGAGAAGAATAAGGAGGCTACCTACTACCTACCAAACTGACGCGTCAAGTCTGAAGCGCGTGTCGAAAGGCGCCTGGTGTCTCCTGGATCAGCCACAATGCAAAAGTTGTCGTCATCGTGTGGAGAGAGCAGTAAAACCTAGCGCTGGACTAGCACTAGTCTACTAGTAGTGGACCTCCAACTGATCATGTGCCATCATCGATCAATGATTCATGTAAGTACGGGAATTGCCGATAGCCCTTTTTTGGAAGTGTGACTTTGTCGAGCTCGCTATGGTCAACGACGATGAAAGGCTTTGAGTACTCAGAGCTCACTAATTGGGATGGCTTTCTGTCATCTAGTTCCTATAATCCTCATCCACGTAGTGACTTGCCTTCGACGTCATTCTCCAAGTCGATGAGCAGCTCGAATGCTACCCCTGCATCGTATTCTTCTAGCACATCATCACAAGACGCTAATGAACAAGACTCGGATTGCTATATAATCGATGTTCCTAAATCTTCAACAGGCGATATATTCAACGAAAAACACGGTTCTACGCGTGCTGAATTCAAGGTACGTTCGTTCGCGTTTCTTCTGCTACCACTGCGGTTTACAACTCCACTCAGCGCGTATCATCGATTGAATCGCATTCAGCCGCACAGATGCCCCAACTCTTTCACCCGTCTAATCTCGACACACAGTTTCCATTCCAGCATGCTCGCGACACCTCGGCTGCCGTGAGCGTGTCTTTCACTGACAGGTCCATCATCCTTACGTATTCTTCTCCACAGGATGAAGATTTGACCCAACCTGAATCGTATCTTTCTTCTTCACAGCACAGCACCCGGAGCGTACCAACTTCACTCTATGTCGCGGAGTCCAACTTATTCGACCTGTCTATACCTCCTCTCCTAGCTCACAACGACGTGATTGAGTTGACTGATGATGAAGACCCTTTCGGACATAATTCTATCAATAGTGCTAGCGATCATGACAACGAGGATGAGGAGATTGCTGTAGACGATATGCTTGTAAGTATTACAACATCACAACATTAACGTTCCTTAAACCCACTTTCTGACCATTAATTGCCAGACTGAATTATTTCCCGCGCCCGATTCGTCTTCAGGTATTGTCCATTCTTCAAGATCACCCTCGCCCGAAATGGGCGACTCTCTATTCACACCTCCTCCACCTTCCCGTAAGCCCCGCAGACGCATCGTCCTCGACTGTGTATCTGTGCCACCCTTTCCCAAAGGCATTACCAGGGCTGATTACAAGGCCTCGAACGCGTCCACTAGCGCACCTCAGCAGGGTGTAGAGCACCAGTCAATCAGCCACGCCCTAGCCGCTGCATTCGCTCAAAATGACCGGCCGCCGTCACCCTCCCTCAATCGCAAGGGAAAGGAGCGCGAACGCCCACGCCCCGCTCCCGTACGTCCGAGAAAGAAGTACAAGCCTCGTTCTCGAAATTTCGGAGATGACGTTTCTACGGTACCCACCCAGATCTTGGACGCCCAATATCCTGCCCTCGAGCTTGACGTTCGCGAGCTGCCAAAATTTCTGCCACACCACGAGAATATCTTGCAGTCAAGTACCTATTATATCTACGTCAAACGCCTTCAACGCCTTCACGCAGAACTGCATGAAGGTTTACCGGAGGTGATTGCGGAGATGAGGGCTTTTGCGGTCCCGGACGATGAGAAAGACGACGAACTTATCTTGCCTCATGTTCTCGCACCGCTGTTTGAGGATAGGCCGGATATTGAAGCAGCGCTGACATCATACTGGGCACGCTTCCCTCTCAAGAGTTCCTCTCGCAAGGGTCAATCTTCGTCCAAGTCCAAGCTAGGATTCGCTAGCACTGTCCCCGGAACCCATGGTCCTTCACCCCCAATCGCCGTTAACGACATCTCGCACTATACCGCACTGGAAGAGGATCAAACCCTTGACTTTAGCATGGAGATGGATCAATATTTGAACGACCTTGGAGATTCTCCTGCGAAGTCGTATCCCCCAGGCATTAAGGACACTCGGTCCGCGCCAAATGCCTTCCTTGGTTTCTTGCACAATATCCCGCGGCTACCCCATGACGCAGCGTCGGCTACGCGAAAAGATTCAGAGGACAGTTTCTTCGGGGTGCCTCCTAGCCCGAGGCTAGTACCCGAGTCTCCTTCGCTACAGCTCACAGACACGTACGCTACAAATCCCTCACATAACCTGGATGCTAGTTTCGATCTTGCGCTACCTGAGGATGGCCAGTGGTCTCTGTCCCCTACCATAGAGAAAAATCGCATATCTCCAACAAGTATTTCTTCTTCAGGCAGCGCAGGTACGATCGATCCCTCGCTGCTCGGTGGTAGTGAACCGCCTCCCAAATCGCCTTTGCCCCCATCAACAAGTGCCCTAAATTCGAAGAAACCACCAGCAGGCCCTATCATATACGTGCGCAGGCCTCCAGGAGTGTCCGCGTCGCAGGAAGCACCAATGCTCTCAGGCAATGCGCCCGGCAAGTCGAGAAGAAATGTTCAGATCAAATATCGTACAAGTGAGTCCGTGTCTGTCACGGATGAAGGCGACGCGGCAACTTCAGCGAGAAAGCCGGATGACCGGGAGGTTAATGATAACGGGGGGTGGATTGCTGAAGCGATTACTGATCCACCGGCACAACCCGGGGCGCGGCCAAGTCTTAAGATACTGATTCGTCGATCGGGCACCCGTACAAGCTCTGATGGGTCATTTGCGCCGTCCAAAGCGTCGACCCCAACTTCAAGTTCTCCTGCTGTATTTGCCACTCCACTTCCGGAAACGAAACGTCCTAAGGTCCATGCACCTCCTCCAGCTCAAACCCCGCCACAAGACGATGGCGAGCCTGATGTCGTTAAGACATTCTGTCACCACTGCCGAAACACGAACACCAGACCCAAGATGCAATGTTCCAAACGCCGTCCAGACCGCCAAATCTGCGGGAAACGGTTTTGCAACCGATGCATCCTGAACCGGTCTGTCGTCTTCCCCCTTTACTTCATCTCCTTTCCTCATTAATTGCGATGTATGTGCTCAGGTACCCTGAGATGACGTTTGTTCGCAATTACAAGACATTTGTCTGTCCGGTCTGCCTTGATACCTGTAACTGCTCCTCATGCGCGCGGAGACGCGGGGAGGAGTACATTTCCATGCGTGGAGGTGGATTTGCGGGGTCTCGCACCAAGTCGGGCATTGTACTCATCCCTGACAGTGCCCATGCAGGCCCAGTCCAGGATGACTCAATGACGCCTGAGCCTCCTGAAAGTGCGCCACAGACGATGTTCTGGGCTCATGTTTACGGTCTTGAAGGCGAGCGCGTCGGTCGTGCATTTATTGACGACGCCAGCGCCTCTGCCCCTGTTCGGCCCACGCAACCCACGAAGCAGCGCGCCCAAAAAGGACGAGCGAAGCAGAAAGTACAAGCGAAGGCGAAGGCGAAGAAAACACCGAGGGTATTCATCGGGACGCCTCTACGGGAGTGGAAGATCCGCACGATTAAAGACCTCGAGCCTAGCGCTGAGATCCCGCCTCTCGTCTCGGAAGAAAACTACGAAGGGAAAGGGAAGGGCAAAGCTGTTGAACGACCGCGTGTTTATATCGGCGATGCGAGGTGGTTACACCTACCATATGCGCGTATGCCTGTGTCGTCTCAATCTTCGCGCGCGTCATCGCCGGACTCGGAATTGGAGCTGGACTCGGATGGGACGTTGACGCCGTTGGAGGATTTGGAGGAGGAGATGGGGTGGCCGCAGCCTGAGGTGGGGGAGTCTGTGACTGTGACGTGGGGGTCGACGCGTGTGCAAGATCGGAGTGCGTCTAGTTCGTTGTCGCCGGATGATTTGGTCAAGGCTATTGGGGTTGCGTTGGCGGCGACGCGTGAGGGTTCGGGAGAGTAATGGTGATGCTGTGAGTTGTTTTTGCATAAATTTGTTTTTGTTGTCTATAAGGGCGGCGCGTAGTGAGGTAGGCGTTCATGGTACTACTACTACTACTTAAGTACGGTATGCTCCACATTGGGTTGTGGGGTACCGTTTAATATTGCATGGCGATCCTTTAATGTCGGATAATATGTGAAGGCGATTATTTGGTGACTTTCCGAAGTATTTGAAAGTCTTGGTCTACAGCAGGATTTGTACCAGAAGAGCTCGAGAAGGCCATCGGACGTTGGAAACATTAGAACATAATTAATGTGAGGGAAAACATACTGGTAACTTCATGATTTGCATCACATTGAACCCCTAGCAACCAGGCTATAGTGCCAGATTGAAGCATAAAAGTGTATGGGCAAATAAGCAAAAAATGGCTAGTTCTCCGGCGTTGATCTTTCAGCTCCGTTTTTTTAGCTGACACGCATTTGACTTATAGCCAACCCATGAGGCTCTGTTTAAACTTTACATCGACTAAAAAGTACGCAAATTTGTTCATTATTACCATTTCGCTAATATTACACGCAAAGGGTGATTCATCAGGCAAAAACTGGATGCAAAGCAAATGACTCCTACTCACAAGTTTAATGCAGGAACCGTTTTGATCACAGCAGTCACGGATCGTGTTGCACTTCTCGTTCAGCGCACTACATCCTTTTGCACTGACAGATATTACAGATGCTGTCAAAGCAACAATAATGGTGAGGAAGGAGAAACGCATTGTTTGTGCGAGGAGGTGGGGTAGACGGTAGGAAAATGACCTGCTTTTATCCTATCGTGAATTAATGCTTAGTGTTGCCGACAGGATTCGATTTGACAGAATGGTTATGCCTGGCGGATGATACTGTACAACGAGAGTTTAGGCAGAGCCTATCCCTTCCGATACGAAAGCAGTCGTAACATGCCGTGCGCCTACGACCCTGATCCTTTGTGTTTTGATATTGGATTATTGTCAGTCTTGTATTTGCATTTTAGTGGTGCGTGCGCACCAGTCCTCGTATCCAGTAGTCGAGAGGTAACGTCCAATGATTATGAGCTAATAATGCGACGAGGAGTACTAAGTTTTAGTTAGGTGAGAACGCGAAGCGCTTTCCAGTTCCGATTTGCCTGATTGTAAGAGACAGGATGGCCTGCGAGGTTGGAGGGGAAATCCCACTGGAGGAGTGCGACGGCCAATATCAATGGGCCATGGGCTGGGACAGGGTCATCAGCTGGTGGGCGATATTACACACTATGACGTGTCAAGGACTCAGGGCTCCTTACAGATAAACGGCCTGTAAAAGATAAACCAGAAGTTCAGTTCGCCCTCGTCAACGAAGGAAGGTGATACCACAAGACGTAGTCCAAGGCAAAATGGTCACAAAGTCATAACCGGCGTCAGAATCGATTTGTTTCCTGCTGCGAGCTGTGTCGAACTGGAGGCCATGAACCGTGTCTTGGCTAGTAATTTTGGCAAGTATGATGTGTTCCAAACCAGCGAGACCTCCTGGTACACATACTGCGGTCCGTGCGGGAGGCTCAAATAAGATTTTCAAGTGACCAGGATGTTAACAGACGGTTCTATTAGGATCCCACTCACTTGAAAATCCCACAAAGAAGAGTGACCGCCTGACCGATGGGCCAGTATGGGCGCGTTTTTGTAGAATCTGCGAACGAACTTCTTCATGACAGCCATGTAACGCACAGCATGTGCTTTCACCCCTCTTCAGTAACAAGTTCATCGAACCTGCCTCTCCATTTCTGGTTTAGCTACATCCTGTGCGGGAGCGCTCCAACCCAACCCAGCTTGCTTCCTGTGAACCAACGAGCGCTAACTCAGTCCCCACACGCAGTGTCTTCTTTTCCACGTGAGGTTATCTGTAGGTGTTCGCAATCAAAGTTCTGTCGAGAAAGATCTCTGTTTGGAATTTGAGCCACAACATACGCAGCACCAATATTCACCATCAGAATATATACATTGCCAGTGTGAGGTCGAGTCGCGCACCTTGTTACTACGCCCAGTATTAATATCTGAGACCTGACAAACATCCATAAGTGAATAAGACCGAAATGTATATAAATCTAGACATTTTGAATGAATGCACCGATTGCAAGGCATCCCAAACTTACATGAATCATCCATGAACTTCCCGCCGTTTGTGGTCGGCTTCAACACTCCGAGTCGTCGTCGATATCCATAAAACCTCTGAAGGTAGAATCTGGACGGTACTGGTGGTCCAGGTCATCGGGACATGTGCTATGGCGCAAGAGAGTTCCGAATAACCCCTAGAGACCACCGCGGCGAGTGTTGAAGACAAGGAGAACGATCCAGAATTTCATACTCCGACTCAACTTCACTAGTGACACTAGTACTGTGTTTCAACATCTCGACGACATTGGATCAAATCGAACGGTTTTCCGGCTGATACAACCTTTCCAAATGACTACGATGCATGTTCTTGGGCCGGAGCACACTGGTCTGTATTTCCATTTCAATGTCGAGAACTGAAAGGCGCAGCGCTTTCCACTGATGCCGATTCAGAATTTGGTTGGTACAGGAAAGCTGCACCACGGCGCCACCACTCAGATTATAGATTCCTGAGCGCGAGGTCGACTTCCCACTGACGCTCGCCCGCGAGCGCATCGAAATTGGGGGTGTTGAAGAACATTATGCTTCCATTATCTGCTAATGTCAGGTATTACTCATGATTCAAGTTTGATGACTCTCGAGTCTCGTTGCAGGAAGCATGCATAGTCAAAGTTTAGCAGATTAGTGCGGTACACACCGCCGGCTGATATGCGCTCTTGATTAACTAACATCAACTCGTCTGAAGTTCGCAAGACTCTTATCTATGCTCTAGATCTCACCTAGGAGATCGGGCATTGATTTTAGTAAAGTTGATTCTCGCTCCTGTGCTTATGATGCGGTTTCTGAAGCTCAGCTTTTTGTGCGTGCGCACCCCCTGAAAGCAAACTCAGGATATCTAGGGTGTAGTATGATGTTTGAATCTGACTGATTTTTGTGGATGACGTGACCAAGCGCGTTCTAGAAATTATTGGTACGGAAGCAATACCACTCTTACATAATTACACTCATATTTCGAGTTTTTCGACTCAGTGGCTACATTTGTGCCCCTAATCTACATCGGGGTCGATACTCTCCAATTCCATAACAATTAATTTACTCATCACTCATGCCTCGAATCAACTTTCGTGCCCTAGCTAACAGACGTATACGTCTTTACTCTCGTCCGGCGGTACAACATATACTCGATATGTTTGCTAAGATTCCAGCTGATACAACTGTCCCAAACGATTACTATGGGGCTTACTTCTCAGTTCTTTGGAATACCTTCGGCTATCCTCCATATACAAGCCATCCAATGTATGAACTCCCAGAGTGTTACAAGGATCCAAGCCTCCTTCCAGAGGGCAAGACTGCCGACGACTTCTTTGTCACCTATGCTATTACACTCGAAAACAACCCTCTCCTCTTCCTTGAAATAAAGCCTCCTGGTCAACTCAACGACCTCTCGGCTAGGATTGCTGCGGACAAGCAGATGAGGGAAAGATTTATTAGCTTTAAACCCCTAATGACAACACCCAGATTCTATGGTGTCAGTGCCATGGGACAGAGGCTTGCCTTCTATGGCATGGACAAATCCAGCAGCTGTGTACTCCCCAAACTTCCAACGTCGGGAGATATTCCGATTGATTGGTGGAAGACGGACATCACGACGAGAGCTGGACAACAAGAGTTTAATGGGGTTGCACGGGATGTTAGAAACATGACAGAAGAAGTTACAACGTAAGAACCGTTATTGTGTTTGCTGGTGGCACTCTAACATGTTTTGCTTGGTCTAGGGCTTTTTGGCGTCTGTACCCATCCTGATTATGATGGCACCTAGCATGGTGTGTTCAAGACCATGCGAAAATTAGCTTCACTCTGATTCAGGGAGACTATGATTCACGTTCTGGCCTGTATTTTGAATCGCCGTCGAGTCTTTGATTATAGTAGTTGCATATTTTATTATCATCCTCTGTAAGATAGGTACACTTACGTTCTCGCAAGGGGATAATCAAGTCAACTGCGACGCAAATAGGCAAAGCAAACATACGTCTAGGGGATCATGGAGCTCATAAACTGTGTCCATGCGGGAGGATGAGGGAAGGAGTTTGCGTTGAAAGCATGCTCCGTACCACGCACAGCATGTGCTTTCACCCCTCCCTTCAGTAACCAGTTCATCAAACCTGCCTCTCCATTTCTGGCTTAGCCATATTCTGCGTGGGAGCGCTCCCACCTTGCCTCCTGGGAACCACTGTGCGCCAATTCAGTCCCCACATGCAGTATGTTCTTTTCCACTTGAGGTCATCTGTAGGCGTTCGCAATCATAGTTCTGCCGAGAAAGATCTCTGCTTGGAATTTGAGCTACGACATACGCAGCACCAATATTTACCGTCGGAATATCTACATGCCAGTGTGAGCTCGAATCGTACACTCGACTCGATATCACACACCTTGTTGCAGTATTAATACCTGAGACCTGACAGACGTCCATAAGGCTGAAACGTATATAAATCTAGACAATTAAAATGAACGCACCGATTGCGGACCATCCCAAACTTACATGAATCATCCATGAGCTTCCCGCCGTTAGTGGTCGAACACTCCCAGTCATCAACGATGTTCAAAAAGTCTCTGAAGGGAGAGTCTGGACAGTACTAGTGGTCCAGGTCATCGGGACATGTGCTATGGCGCAAGAGAGTTCCGAATAACCCCCTATAGACCACCGGTACTAATGTGCGATTCAATCATTCGGATTGAGTGAGTACTTGTTTGAATACAAGGAGAACGATCAACTCATGCTCCGACTCAACTTCATTACTGCCTTTCAATTTCCGATTCGCTCCCTATTGAGAGGCGAGAACTAGAGTACGAGTCTCAGTCACGGTTAAAGGGACTCCATTCAATGTAGTACTACGAACCTAGAGTACGAGTCTAATATATATAGTGAGTACAACAAAGTAAGGATGAAAGAAATATAATACACACCTCAGTCACGGTTAAAGGGACTGAGGTGTGTTAGCGCGTGTTCGTAGTCTTATATAGAGTTAGAATACGGTGAAAAACGGAAAGAGAAAATAAGTAAGGTACGTCCCAATGTCTTGCATTTATATACGTCAAGGCGTTGTGACGTCCTGGTCGCCCTGGTCGCCCTGGTGGTTAGGCGTACTCTCGACACTCCCACTCGCCATACCACGCAGGGTAGTCTGACGGAGACCCATCTCCTCACGGTGACGATTCACGGCTGGACGAGGCAGCGCTTTCGTGAGGCTATCGGCGAGCATTTCCGAAGTCGATTTGTACTCGAGTCTGATCTGATTGGACTCGACGAGACTGCGGACAAGGTGATAGTGCACACGAATATGCTTTGCCTTGTCGTGGAACTTGGGGTTCTTCGAAAGGGCGAGGCTGGCTTGATTGTCACCATAGAGAAGGGGGGGGTCGTAGAGATCAGGGTCAACACGGAAGTCGTGGAGTAGTTGGATGAGGTATAAGGCCTCGCGAGAGGCATTCGAGAGTCCAATATACTCTGCTTCTGTTGTCGACGTCGCAACGACAGACTGTTTTTGTGCCTTCCAGCTAACTGGACCACCGAACAGCTGATATACATACGCGCTCGTCGACTTGCTGTCATCGCGATCTGCGGCATAATCAGAATCTGAGTGGCCTATCAGCCCGTCATCAGTGAGACCGAAAACGAGTGTGAGGTCCGTCGTGCCGCGTATGTATCTGAGGAGATGCTTGAGTTGGCGGTGGTGATCAATGGTGGGGTGTTCCATGTAACGTGAGAGGGAAGAGACGGCGAATGCGATATCGGGACGTGTTGTACGCATGGCGTAGTTAAGTTCTCCAATAGTGCGACGGTATGGGATGGATGCGATAGCGGTCGCTTCGTCGTCAGTAGGACTTCGTGTCGCTTTCTGGAGCACAATGCCTGGAGACATGGGAGTACTGACCGGGTTACATTGAGACATCCCGGCGTTTTCAAGAATCTTCTCCAGATAGGTCTTTTGGCTGACAGATAGAAGTCGTTTCTCGCGATCACGAGTGATATGCATGCCGAGGAAATGTCTAGCAGGGCCTAGATCTGCGAGGTCGAAACGTTGGTTGAGTCGTGCTTTAAAGCTGTTGAGGAAGTCGCGGGAGTTCGATGCGGAGAGCATGTCGTCGACGTATACGACGAGCCAAATGATCTTGTCCCCTTCGTGAAGGACATATAAGCTGTGATCAGCCTCGCTTCGAACGAACTTGAAACCCTCCTTTCGCAGATACTCATCAAGCGTCTGATTCCACTCGTACCCCGCCTGCTTCAAACCATACAGCGCCTTCTCCAACTTCCATACCCAATCTGGATGCTCTGGATCCTCGAATCCGGCTGGTTGCTTGAGGTATATATCCTCCTTGAGTTCAGCATTGAGGAAGGCCGTACGTACATCCATTTGGTCTAATTCAAGGTCGAATTTTGCTGCGAGCGCGAGGAGGATTCGGACGGTATCGTACTTGGCAACGGATGCGAAGGTCTCCGTGTAGTCGACCCCCTCGACCTGTGTGTATCCCTGCGCAACGAAGCGGGCCTTGTGCCGAGTGATGTTGCCATCCTCGTCTGACTTCACTGAGAATACCCACCTGGATCCAATGGCCTTCCTTCCTGCTGGGAGAGGCACCAGACGGTGAGTCTTCAAGTCGCGCATGGATTGTAGCTCAGACTTGCAGGCGTCTGACCATAGCGGCCACTCAGGTAGGGAACGAGCCGCATTGATTGATTTTGGGATGATGAGTGGTGTAGGAGGTATAGGAGGGGTGTCTGTTGTATGCATGGCGGATTCATGAGATGGAGGTGGGTCTGGTAGGACTGGGACATGGGTCCAGCGCTCAGCTACAGGAACTCGCTTGGTGGGTATGGCCATGTCACTAGGTCCACTTGGAGCGATATAGCCAGGCTGAGTAGGTTGGCGTGGACGTGTGCTTCGACGTGGAGCTGGAGCTGGAGCTGGAGCAGGAGCTGGAGCAGGAGCTGGTGCATTGTGGGAATGATGGGACTCGACTGGAGCGTCTTGGGATGTATGGGACTCGACTGGAGCGTCCTGGGATATGTGGGACTCGACTGGTGGGTCAACATCACCTCCCACTGACACCTGTGGCACAGGAGGTGTAGCAGGGGTCATAGATGGCGGCTCACCAGATGAAGGAGCACCTCCCACTGAAGAACTGACACCTGGGGTGTCTCCCACTGGAGGATTGACGCCCTGCACAGAGTCTGCGCCAGGAATGAGTGGAGCAAGGGGGGATAAGGTGGGGTCCCCATAGAAAACGGCCTCGTCAAATTGGACATGACGGGACCGAACAACGCGTTTTGCAGAAGGGTCCCAGAGGATATAGCCAGCGTTGCGTACGTGCCCCAGGAGAAAACATCGGCGGGAGACGAACTCGTATTTGCGGCGGGTGTCATCAGGGATGTGAGAGTAGGCGAGGCAGCCAAATGGGCGCAAGTAGCTTACATCGGGCTTGCGGCCATAAAAGGCCTCAAACGGAGTCCGACCATCAAGAGCTGAGGAGGGGAGGACATTCTTGATGTGCGCAGAGTTCAGTATCGCCCAGCCCCAGAAGGAACGCGGGAATCCACTCTGGTGATGGGAGCTGAGGGCACGAGTAACAACCGTTTGGTGGCCACGTTCGGCGACGCCGTTTTGCTGGGGCGTGTAGGGCATGGTGAGTTCATGCTCAATCCCGCGCTCTGCCAGGTAATGAAGAAAGTCCTTCGATACGTACTCCCCACCGTTGTCGCTGCGAAGGCGTTTGATACGCCCGCCAGATTGAGTCTCCATCCACGGTACGAACTTCTTGAAGAGTTCAAAGACCTCGGACTTCGCACGCATAAGGTACACGAGTGAGTAGCGTGTGTAGTCGTCGGTAAATACCACGAAGTAAGAGTCGCCAGTGGAAGACGCGATACTGACGGGGCCCCAGACGTCCGAGTGTACAAGCTCTGCGGGTGCCGATGCTCGTCGTGCAGCAGCAGGGAAGGAGGAACGTCTGTGCTTACCCATGAGGCAAGATACACAGTGGATCATATCACCACTGGTACCATGGTGTGTCGAAGGAGGGAGTGATAGGCCGTCAACGTGTTCGCTCGCTTTCAGAACTGTTGAGAACCCTGCGTGACCCAATCGACGATGCCACGTGTGTAGGGATAAGGGAGTGGACGGTGACTGTATGAGCATGGCAGATGCAGTGGGTGCACTGGCAACGAACTGTGCATCGAGTAAGTATAGGCCGTTGCGAGAATGAACATGTGCGAGCGTTCGCCCGTATCCATCGTCAGCGCGAAGCATGCCTCCTTTGGAGGAAGAGATGAATGAGATGCGTTCAGACGCGAGGCACGACACAGAAACGAGGGTGCATCGCAGGTCAGGAACATGAAGGAAGTCAAAGTCCCGAGTTGTTGAGGAATGCTCATAGTGTAAGGCGAGTCGTACAGTTCCCCAGCCAGGGGCTAGGACCTCATGATTGTCGGCGAGTTTCACACGGATGGGCTTATCGAGCTTCGTGTAGTGAGCAAAACGCGACATATCAGGTTCCATATGGGCAGTGGACGTGGAGTCTACATGAATAGAGCCTACAGGCATAGTGAGGGAGGACGAGATATTGGCAGTATGCTCTTTTAAGGTGAGAAAGTAGGGAGACTGTGGTATAGTGTTGGGTGAGGTAGCGCCCGCATCAGGTTGGTCTGCCAATGGAGATTCCGTGTTAGCGGCGACAGCGGTAGGGGACGAACGTGGTGCTGACTTCTTCTCATCCTTAGCGAGGCGTGCACGACACTGTGCCCAGACGTGGCCAGCCTTCTGGCAATGGCCACACTTAGGCCTCCATCCTACGATCCAGCCGTCTCCCTTCGACTCGTCGAATCCCTTGGGAGGGACACGATCACTCGTCTTAGGAGGCGCACTATTCCCTCGATGTCCAGACAGCATGGCGACATGCTCTGGTGCGCTGTTGGTCCCTGCACGATGCAGCTCCTGGGTCTTCAACCGATTCACGATGTCGTTGAAGTCCAGTGAGGTGTCACTGTTGACGAGCGTCTGGCGAAGAGGGTCGTAGTAGTTGGGGAGAGCTCGGAGGAGGATGTGTACGAAGATGGCGTCTGGAATCTTGTACTCCTCCTTCGTAACAGTAGCACCGGATGTGGTAGAAGCTGGAGTAATTGAGGATGTGGATGGTGCAACTGAGAGTGCTGCAAGGTCCGACTTCAAGACAATGAGTGTCTGTAACGTCTCCGCGATGGACATGCTGTCGTGCGCCTTTGGAATCGTGAACAGACGATCGAGGTACTGATTGAATCGAATGGCTTTCTGGGGAAGATATTTCTTCTCCAGAGCGATCCAAGCAACATGTGGATTGTCGATATCTCGTAGGTAGACGAAGTCTTGGGCGTCAATGGCTGTGGAGAGGGCACTGAGCGCGAGGAGTCGGCGTTGTTTGTAGAGCTTCACCCGCTCGTCGTGCTTCTCCATGCGGAGGATGTTTTGATCAGAGTCGGAGAGTTGGGCTGGTGGGGACGGTTCTACTTCGTCTCCACTGACGTAGGGCCATAGCCCGATACCACCGGCCCACATCTTGAAACCTGTCGCCCACTGTGAGTAATTAGAGCCGTTGTGGGAGAAATCGTAGAAGTCCGCTATAGTGATAGCGTACTGATCCTGCTGGGTGCGAGAATAGTAGTCGACCCAAGGGGATAGCTCTGAGAGCAGTTCCTCAAGTATGAGCGAGGGGAACAGTGAAGAAGGAAGTGATGCGCTGAAGACAGAACAGCTGTGTACGCGAGGAGATGCGGAGATGCGAGAATGCGCGGAGATGCAAGGTATGTGGAGATGCGAGGTATGCAGATGCGGAGATGCGAGGTATGCGGATGCGGAGAAACGAGTGAATATCTAGAGGGTACCAGGTATGCGAACGAGTAGGGTACCAGGTATGCGAAACGGGTAGGGTACCAGGTGTCGGAACAGGTAATCGGGTAGAGCGAACTAGGTACCAGGTATATGCGAAGACGTGCAGAAACCGCCTTGCAAAGGAACTCAACTAGGACTAGCAATAGTCAACTGTCAATGGCGATGCGAGCGTTCGCGCGGGATGAGAAGGCAAACAGATGATTGCTCAAGCAAGGAATGACAAGGTAAAACTAAGCTAGTGACTCCGCAACACACAACCAGAGAGAGGGAATGTAGGAAAGTGTTGGATACCAGTCCGCAACGTAGTATATAACAGAGTCCGTAAGAAACCGGAACTGTATAAGCGAATGCATATGTACGCGAAGTCGGAGGGGGATAATATGTAAGTAGCACTATGCGACCTCGTGCATGGGAACTGATATGTAACTGGCCCTGCGAACGGTTAGGAATGACTAACTAAGGATGAGAACGCACCAGTGAGGACGGACGGATGCAGACAGGACATGGACGGATAGTGCGTTGCGATGCGATGAGTGCGCAGATTCCGCAACCTCGTGTGATGGTCCGCAACGGCCTGCGGAGGGTATGCGTGACTTTGTCCAGTAAGGGGAAATGGTGCCGTACGGGGCTGCAGACAGGGCGTCTCCTACACCGTCGAGAGTAAGTTTCTCGTGCGGGTACTTCTCGGTCTTCGGGAGAGAGTCCGATGATGTCATAGTGATCGACAGTTAGGAGTGACACTTCGATATTGGTTTGGATCCCGGTAGGAAGCGTGATGGGTGAACGGACGTTCGAGAGGTGCTAATGCGAGAGATGGGGTAATACCGCTGCCCTTTCAGACAGGGCTCATAACCTATTGAGAGGCGAGAACTAGAGTACGAGTCTCAGTCACGGTTAAAGGGACTACATTCAATGTAGTACTACGAACCTAGAGTATGAGTCTAATATATATAGTGAGTACAACAAAGTAAGGATGAAAGAAATATAATACACACCTCAGTCACGGTTAAAGGGACTGAGGTGTGTTAGCGCGTGTTCGTAGTCTTATATAGAGTTAGAATACAGTGAAAAACGGAAAGAGAAAATAAGTAAGGTACGTCCCAATGTCTTGCATTTATATACGTCAAGGCGTTGTGACGTTCTGGTCGCCCTGGTGGTTAGGCGTACTCTCGACACGGGGTGGTGCTGGAGCTTCTCGCAGGTACCGGAGCAGGTCTTCATCACGCTCCCACTCGCCTCGTAACCATCGTGGACGAAGCCGAAGGCATAGGTCTCGCAGTCGTCGTCACAACGACTCATCCCCATCTACAAGTCGAGAAAGGTCAGCATCCAGAGATCGATCGCGCTCAGGACGTGCCTCTTCAACTCTCACACGTCATACAACGCCAGCTTCCACTAATGAGCATGAAATGGGAAATCAATCCTCAGCACGTGGTCGTTCAACTGTGCAAAGGGGGGGTAAGTCAGCTAGGACACGAAGAGCAAGGGCTGTTGCAGAACCTGACAGAGCAAGCCATGTCGAACTGCGTGTTGGCGAATATGACGATGATGCGGAGGATGTGACTCAAAGTCGGAGTAAACTATCCGCAATCGGCAAAGAGGCACGAAGCGAGCTAAAGGCAAGTGCTTTGAGTAGCATTAAATATAGCGCAAACTCAACAATCTTACCTAGCATTTGATCACCATGAAATTCCGTCACGTTTGTGATGTTTCTGAAGGGAGAAGCTGGCCAGCATCAGCAGATGAAGAGCGCATCAATGAAGTGACAGGTGAACGTTACCTGATGCCAGAGTTCACCAAAACGGTAAACGACGACCATAACCGCAAGATCTTTGCCAAGGTCGCAAGTTTGGTCTGGCAAGACCTTCAGGTAAGTCATATGCAACATGATAGGTAATTGCGAGCTCACCTTTTGCAGAACATGGCCAACAGCGACTGCCTTGTGAATCGCAAGGTAAAATGGAATAAGCAATCACTTTTCACATTTGCGAAGGAGACATACCGTGGATTCAAAGAAGACTGGCGGGCCCAGAACGACGCCGAGAAGAAAGCTGCCAAAGGTGTGAACCAGCGAAGCAATAGACGTGCTCAACGTCGCAAAGAAGTAAGTGTTAAAGTTACTTTTCATCAATGTGAAGACTTACTATGACGGACGGATTAGAAAGCAGATCGGCTTATGACAGCGCGACAGGGTTACATCGAGAAATTTGGTGTTGATCCGGTGGACCTTGTGCATGCAGACCATATGTCGGATGAAGCATCTGGGCCAGATGATGATGATGAGTTGGAGGATGATTGGAAGCGAAGGATGGCGGAGAAAATGGGAATGCCTGCCAACTCGCAGGTTGAAAACTTGTCATTCCTGGAGGTTACAAGAAGTCCATGGAGATCTGACGAAGTAAGCGTTACGCAGTCCTCAAATACGAATAGAAACTTACAAAACCATTAGCTCGGTCAGATCTTTCATACCCTGCATGATCTTTGGCAAGCGTCGCTGACCTCCAAGCAAAAGAAGTGTTTCCACATGATCCGAGTCACCGGCACAGATCGTCAATCACAGCGTATCCCCGATTTCACTCCCTATACCTTCGGCATCAACATGGAATGGCTCGAGGCCAACAAAGATAGACTAGAGTATCAAGACTTACTCAAGGAATGGGGCGCATGGGAGGACCCAGAAGGTTTCGGCTCGAAAAAAAGGGAGCATCAGGACGATCGAGGCACTCCAAATGACGAAGTTGACCAGGACAACACTAGAGGAAGAGAAGGATGATTCCGCGGATTATGTTTTCTTGAGGGCCGGACCAGCGAGAAAGGGAAGGGTGGTTGCGCGGGTGATGTTTTCTTGAGGGCCGGAAACTAAACAGTAGGATGCTAAGTAGTAGAGAAGAGTCATTAATCATTGTATGATAGAGAAAATTTTGCACGTACACGGTCAAGCGTTGTTGTTATCCACAATTCTGGATTACTGGTCTTGATGATTCCACGAGCAATCTGGCTGGTGATTTGATCAAATGGAAGAATGGTAGGGGGAGCTCCATCTTCGCCTGGGCTCCAGTACTCGTTTAGTTTAAAACACATAACGTCGAGCTCTGGACTTGAAAAAAATGAGTCGGAGGGATAGAACTACAAAGCAGACACTTACAACTCGCTCCATGGATCATCTTCGACAGGCACCAGCGGTAGTTCTATCATCCACCTGAGTTCCGCAAGAAGCCGATTTCCATTCGCTATCCCCAACTGTGTATGACGAAAGATGTTGATTACTTCGCCATACCATGACTTATCCATGTATACAACCTTGACGAGAGATGATCCGGCGGACTCTCGAGTACTTCTTGCCAACGGTGTGATGCGACGTCCATCTAGAAGTGCAAACTGATAGTACAGCGCAAAGTCGTTGAGTTGAGATGAACCTGGATGGGGATTTGATTCAAGTGCGTAACAAACGCTGTGGGGTTGTTGTGAGTTATAGTGAGCATATAATGCAACACGAGCTGCGTCGCTGATTCGTTGTGGGTTTGGTATCGATGGGCCAGGCTGGACGTGCAGATACGAACTTAATTCTATTGAGCAGTCGAAAATCAGCAAGTTTCTACGAAAATTGATGAGATGAAACATACCGTCGAAGCCTGTCCCAGCGGCAGCATCTTGTATAGTTCCCGAGGCCTCGTGACTATCACCAAGCATGCGTTCTAGAAGAGTCTTAACAATAGGACTTTCAGTGTTCACTATCGCATCACGAGCCTGAAAATCCCACTGAGAGAAAGCACGATAATGAGCAAAGAAATTACCAAGGAATCTATCTGTGCACCACGTGAAAATTCTCTCATCATCGATATCTCAATCTGACCCCCAGTCCAGTTGTTCGAGTTTGAACTCTTGAGGACTTTATTGAGACACTTGGAGAGAAAAGCCCAAAAGTTATAGACCGGTCCGTAGTCAAGGATCTGTTGCCTAAGATGAATGGCCCAATGAAAGTTCGGTTTGAGGGCATCGACACCATACAACTGTTTAGCATACGATAAGACTGAAAAGTGCGTTCAAAGCAAGATCGTACCCTTTTGTACTCGAGCAAGTACTCTTGAAGTAGCATCTCTGCACGAGGGAGCATATCCAGCTTGATTGAACTACCACAGAATATCTTGAGAGCAGTCGAAAGGCGCAGAAAGTTGATCGGTTCGGCACGTTGCATGCGAACCTTCGGTGGCTTCGGTGGCTTCGGTTCCTTGTCGTCTTTCGCAGACTTCTTTTTGTTGCCTCGTTTGGCAGCCGCAGACCCTTGTGGTGCTTCTCGGTGTGCCTTCCAAGCCTCGTAGTCCTTGATAAACTGATCCTGACGTTTAGAAAATGACTTAATGGAAGTTTTTTGATCCGACTCCGCTTCCTCCACGAACATGTCCCAAATTATAGGTATCTGAATTGCGTGTTGAATATAATGGATGCAATATAGAATGAAATGACTTATGGTGATGGGCCAGGCTGTTGTTGCAGCAAACTTATATTCGTCAGCTGTCAAAGACCCACCTGCGGGCTCTCCAACACGAAGCGGCAGCTTTCCAGCCCAGAGCGGGGCTTCAAACGTACTGAGAAAGGTATGCATTAAATTGAGCTCGCGAGTTCTTGTCTGAGTAGAGGCGCGAAGGGCCGGGGTCAAGATCCATTGCGTGTACCATTGAGTCTTAATAATTCCTACAAGGTCCATATTAGCTCACTCGTTCATTGTTAAAGTAAATATGACGACGCACCAAGTAATAAATTGTGCATCGGATCAATTATTGTCTGTCGCACAAGATCAAAATATGGGAGCCGCGCAAGCTCGGTCCAACGGACGCCGTGTTCGTCAAAGAAGGTGTTACGTTCATCTCGTGTTTCAAGGGCTTTCTCTTGGAAACATCGGCGTCGATGTTCTTCACCATTACGTGGATCAAATTCTATTGTTATGGTTAGTTCAAAACTGTAAGCCACTAATGAAATGAGGCACGTGCCGTTGCGTAGAGATGCATCAGAGAAGATTTCATCCTGGGTTACCTTGCACTTAGGGCACGGAGAATTCTTGTGGCTGTGGTCGGCGAAGCCACACATCTTACACATGGCTGGATGGTCGCATACAATACCTAGCAGTACGACACGAACTCTTCGACCTAGAAAATATATGTTAGTGCGCCAAAGGGTCAAACACTGTTAGAACTAACCCTCTGGGTGCCCTGGGGTATGATAGACGACACCTTCCTCATAGAGCTTGAGTAAATCGTCGACAACAAGTCGTAGATAGTTTTGGAGCTGAGCGCCTGTTGGTTCGGTAGGTCCAGGTGTCATGAACGATACCAAAAGGTTCTCGGCACGATACCTAAAGACATGAATATAAGATACAGAATAAGTTAGCAGCAACTCACCTTAGTGCCCTAGGAAGGTTTGAAACACATAGTGATAAGACGCCAGAGGAATGGCTTGGCCCATAGACACTGGTTTTACGTCCAAACCTTGGAATAAAGTTTAATCAGTACTCATCATATCGAGAATAATATGGTAATCACATACCAGTCGAGGCTCATGGTTACACCAATGCGAAGCTCCTGTGAGGTTTCCATCCCAGAAAAGAAGGGTGTTTCATCTGGGCCCTGGATGGTGCGCCATACTGCACCATCTGAGATATCATGAAGCTCCCCCGGTTTAACTGTGCGTGATTTCCAGGATTCACATGCTGCCTTGTTACCTCCACGTGCAAGAAAATCCGCGAGTAAGGAGGATGGTACCTGGATAGGTGCTGCACACACTGGAGGAGGGCGTTGAGCTTTGCGGCCTGTTACCATCCGAAAGAGCCTGTCGGAGACTGGTTTGAACAGCCGACTATCACAGTCGGGACACAGTGCATTGGTGGGTATATCTGTAGGGAAAATACGGTGACAATGACCACAGACTGGGTAAATAGTAAACCTGTCGTGGAGATCGAGGCGATGAATCACTGTGTTGAGAGTCGTAGGAAGAGGCTGCGTGGGATGAAGTATGCCTAAAGAGAGGAGAATGATGGTAACACAGTGAAGAATCAGAGCACAAGCACGAAAGGAAACACGATGCTTCGCATGTAGAATAGCCACCAAGATAATAATGATACGTCCAAACCAGTCCGGATGAGCATCTTGATATACCTGACGTGGATCAAGCGGGGCTTCGAACTCGCTTCTTGGTGTGATCTGCACCTGACCCACGGGCTGACTGTTGAAGGGGGTAGCCTGTACGTCTGGGATGGTATCTGCATCCAAATCTTCATCACGTCGTTCTGTATGGAGGAGCGGGTCGTGGTGGACCTCATCACCTGCATCAGGGTCATCATATAACCCAAGAGAGTCTTCTTGGGGAGCCTGGGACTCGGATTGTAGGACATCACTTTCTTCATCTTCTTCGCGTCGAATGGGCTCAGCCATGACATGCGTGCTGCTGGCCTTCTGCCACAGGCGCTTTACGGCAGGTAAATGGGTTTGGCGGGGGACAAGGGTAGGATACGATTGTGCAAGAGGGATCTGGCGACTGCCGGTAAGTAGAACAGGTGTAGTACGTGTCGCTAAGAGTGGAGCAGTGTGGGCTTCGGGGGCAACCCGAAGATATTTGGATGGCGGAGATTGTGTAGCGTCTGACGAGCTCGAGTGCTGAAGATGTTGGGATGATGATGGTATGGGGTCATGAGAAAGCGGTGTTGGAGCAGGCGATTCTCGCTGGGGATATTCGGCATCGATCTCCATAGGTTCGTAGCTATCCATGCTTAAAACTCCAGTTAGTATGGTGCTATATATATATATCGCCAAGTACTCACAAGGGCGACGGTGTATGGGTGAAATTTTCCCGAATATCGGACTCTTCACTGCGCGATGTAGCTGATCCCAAAGGCAATACCTGTGCATGATCAGTAAGAATAGCACCGCGTGAACCACTCGTTCGGGATGAGGAGACATGTGTTGAAGCGCCAACACGGGTGCGAGCAGTCGACACCACCCCACGAGGCGGTCGCGGTATCGTACGTCCACGTTGAACGACAGGGGGAGGAGCCGGACCTCTAGCACGGCCTCTCTGTGCAATAGCAGACTGGCCGAGGTTCTGGGCTCGGCGGTGATTGTCGCGTAGATAACCCGGAATGTACTGGCCACCTTCAGTAGAAGTCGCACTCTTACAAACGGTGCAATTGCACCAAACAACGCGCTGGCTTGAGAGCGTGCTTGGATTTACAGTCTAAACAGTTTGAACATTGAGTATTAAACAGAAAAAGTGTGCAACTCACCGACATGTTGCAGGATCACGGAGATGGCAGGAAGAAAGAGGGAGGCACTCGAAACGACTCGCGTCATAAGCAACGGCTTTGAACGACTTGCTTTTGCCTCGCGGTAAGTCATCTGGTCAGCTGGGTACACACCTGACCTAAAGTTGGTTAGTGGTTCCCTTAAGTTATCACACCAACCAGAGAGGGGATAAGGTGGTCTATTTGCAATAGATAGTAGCTACACGAGGCTACATGATGCTGAAACGAGGCAGCGTGCTCGACGATCCGAAGAGCCTGCGTACTGGTAAGTGATTGACAAAGCGAAAACTCCGTGTAGTTGAAGTGTATGACTAAGTATCTGTACACGTGGCTACTTCGCCTAATCAGGCCTACTTCAACAGACATTAACCAAGGGCTAAACGTAGTGAATTGGTGAGTGGGCCATGGCACACGGCCGTCACTCGCGGTATATTGCGCGCTTAGTCAGCCAGCCCAGGCTATACTGTCCTATTTATGCATGATATAACTAGGATTGTAGTACTGTAGTCATGCATGTTTTTACTGTAGCGAGCCCTTAGTAGGATCACAGATAGAACATGCACGCTACCATGCATGGCGTGAAACACAAATGTGAAGCGCCAATCATGCACGCTACATACTGATACCATGCATGACGCGGTGCGTGCCATGTTTATCACATTACTCAATTTGAACAGCGCTGCGCGTCGTTCGGCATACCTGCGCAGCGCTGTATTCCGCCTTTGCATCCCGCCGTCACATCAACCACCCGCCCTGGATTCATTTTTATATGCAGCATCTCAGCATCTCTTTCGGCGTTTATTCTTGCATTCTAAGCCTTTGTATACTACTGCTCTCCGCTTGCCATTAGTCTGGTGTCTTGGCAATGCTCGCTGCTCAATACTCATCACTCTGGCGGCCAGGTCTCAGGCTTTATTCCCGCCCCTTCGCTTACCATCCCACACTTGCTGTTTCTATCCTGCTATATCCTGTTGCTGCCCTCCCAGGCTGACCTGCTGCCGCACTCACGCTGCACCCACTGCATGAAGCATTGAAAAAATGCTAGTTTCACAATGCCCACTTCTCCGCCACTGGGAGTACTCCAATCGATACTGATGACTCTATGCTGAATGGTAGGTCTTAAATATATGTATTGTCCGGAACCACGCTAATGATATTCTATGCTCGCTCCACTCTTCCGAACCCTACGGTCATACCACTTTGCCCATCTCTCACACTCACTGGCACTTGTACATTCTGCCACCCCGCTGTTAGTTCCGCCCTGTACATACTCCGGTACCATACCTACACCTTATCATGGCTTCTCGCACCGTCTCCATGCTCTCGCGCCTGCCTGCTACCATGCTGTCACACTCTTAGACTTTAGTCCCATGTTTATCTTTGTATTGTGAATGGGAGTGGTTCAAATTCACGCAAATTGATTTGTTTTATTCTACCTGAACTTAGTAGTGGCCGCAATTTGAGATGCTCTAAAGTTATTATGATATTTTGATAAATCTCCCAAGAACATGAGCCAGTCAGACAACATATGATATTGTGCACTACCTACATGGTGTCTCGCGGACAAAAACACTCAGTACATTCAGGTCTCGAGTTCACTGGACTTGTGAATATTATAATATGAATTGTTCTTGCGAGGTATCCCTGACCCATCCGATAGGTAAACAGTCGCGCGACTCACTACTGATACATGTGCTTACATGTACTACTTAGTACAATTAACTCGGATGACTCAATTTATATTTTGTAAGTGCTGTTGTACACTCGTCTAAGGTGCGTGTGGGGTGTATCAAAAGCTGTAAACTCGGTGAATAACAGTGGGACCTCTAATATGTCAGGAACTCAACAAATCATTCTCTTCATAGAACAAAAAGTCCGCAACAAAATGCCCCAAAAACAAGCGAGAATGATATGCTCGCCGTCGTGCACAGTGAGCAGGAGGGGCGGGATTGCCACCGTGGCGCGCCGCCAGGTACGAATCCAAACCGACACATGTATAGATTAGATCATGCATGGCTGTGACTGATATATGCACTAATTGCCATGCATGACTGCGGTCATCATGCACGACCTACTTAAGGCAGGGACTCATATAATACAGCAAGATTATGTGTACACCATGCATGAATTACATACTAGGATAGCAGTAAAACATGCATGAGGTCTGAACTACAGTAACAGTAATATCATGCATAACTACCACAGCATCAGGTGGCCAGCCTGGATGTCCCTTTTCCCCAACTTCTGCCGCTGCGGTTGCAATTGTCGTCTCCAATATCAATATTTATTTTATTGACTTTGCAGCCTTCGTTGTGCTCGCTCCCTTTCCGACCTGGCCGTATCAACAACTTGCGTTCTTACGGTGGACCTCTGGTGTTTTGCGTTTGCAATGCTCTTATGCTCTTCGCAAGTCGACGTCGAAAGCCTCACCCTTCACATAGCGTTCGATACCTTGCACGATCTTGTTCAGCTCAATATCTTCAGCGATACAGCCAGTGATTGTCAAAGAGGAAAGAGCAGAGATATCTACTACCTCTATGACGCCGGCAGTCCCCTTATAAGCTCGAATTCTGAAATGATAGGTCCTACTTCTCAATTTTCGGGGCCAATCATCCTCCTCCCGTGTCCGCTCCACGCTGTTTCTCTCTGTTAACAGACACGGGACTCTTTAAGCATAGCGTTTTCGGTGTGTTTACCACGATAGCCCCCAACGCCATCGGGAGGTGATGACATCCTGGGGTGGTGAGGGATGGAGCAGGGAAGGAGGAAACCATAGGCGGGGTATCCATGCGCCTGGTAGGGCTCCGACATGTTGAGGAGAGGTATATCATTCATTCAGATATGATGCCGAAGTGCGCCGTGACAATACTTGTAATGGCGGTGTAAAAAACTGATTTGTGCCCCCATGATCGTGATGCTTCTTCAAACTTGTTTCCCAACTTGTGGCTATCCAGATTTCAGATTCAAGATATTATTTCCAAACGCTTTTAAATTGCTCAAGGTACTTATACCACTTGCTATACGTTGTCCAACTGATAAATCCTCCTGTCTCGTATAGTACAACCGCAGCTCGGCTACGGCCCGCTCCGGCTTGGCGTTCATCGGTTTGCAAGTATTTTGGCTATTCTAGTGAGCCAAGCTACTTATATATAGTTTGGTCTGGTTCATTAGCCGTTTGGAGTCCCACGAACCAACTGTGAGCCAAAAATAATCAACAGCGGCTCGAGCTGGCTTGAGGCCAGCTCAAGCTGATTTATAAATACGAAATCACGTCTTTGTCGAAGTCTCATACCCAGTTAGTTCGACTGTTGCTCCTCGAGGCCTCAAGGCTCAAGTTATCTCATAGTATACCCACCATGAACCATAAGGTCCCGATACGAGTTGACAGTAGATTCAGACTTGGAGATGTTTTGGGATCTGGTTCATACGGTGTGTTGTTCACAAGCTGACTATAATTATAAAAATTAACATACTATGGACCCTACTTAGCTGTTGTGTACCACGCTCGGAATATCATCAAAGATGATGCAGTTGCCATAAAACTCGAATCCATCACAGCCCAGCCATCTTCTGTACAACGCGAATACGCCATTCTGAAACGACTTGAAGGTGGAGTTGGGATACCCCGCGCTCTCTGGTTCGGTCGAGAATCAACATATCATGCTTTGGTTCTCGGCCTCCTTGGGCCATCACTGCAAGATCTTTTCCTCGCACATGATCGAAAATTTAGCCTTCATACTGTTGTCAATCTAGGAATCCAACTGGTCAGTCGGTTCGTGCTGGGTTGTTGCAGATAGGCTAACCCGTTTTCCAGCTCTCACGTCTTGAGTACATCCACTCAAACAATTATGTTCACTGCGATATCAAACCGCAGAATGTCTTGATGGGCCTTGGACATTTGAAGCACACTGCATTTATAATCGATTTCGGTATCGCGAAGGAATACTGGGACACTGCAACCAGAGTCCATATTCCCTTTCGTCAGAATCAACGTCTCACCGGCACTCCTGCCTTCGCTTCAATCAACAACCACTTAGGAGTTGACCTGGGTCATCGTGACGACCTTGAATCGCTTACATACATGTTGATCTATCTGTTACGCGGCTCCCTTCCATGGTTAATCAGTGACCACGAGAAACTCTCCAGCTCTTCCATACTCGAGCGCAAGGTCAACACCACCATTGAAGTCTTATGCAGTGGAATTCCCGTCGAATTTGCAAGTGTTCTCATCTACACGCGCTCTCTTGCGTTCTCGGAAGACCCCGACTATGAGCATCTTCGTTCATTGCTTTGTGGTCTTCAAGACGCCTTGGCTGCGCCATCTACATGCTCGCTGGATTTCAGCATGCCTAATAATCACACCACACATCACCCTCCAATCTCCAATGAACGCTGGATGGCCGAGGCGGCCCCATGTCTGCCGGATGCAACACCACTTCGCAGATCTAC